TAGAGTCTTTGTTTCGAGTGACTATTTATCGGAAAAACATAATAATAATAATGAATAGCCAAAGAATTAATTAAAACGATTCAATGTTCTAATTATTTCTAGAAGAAATCAATTGAATTAATTAAGAAAACGTGAGATGCAACCATTAATTTTTTCGTTTTTGATGGGACAGCTTTAAGTATTGATTAAAAAGAGAAAAAATTGTAGAAACAAAATAAATGAATAAATATTCAATGTTATTGTTATTTATTCTTCGTTACCTTCTCCAAATGTAAAATTGTGGTTTAAATAAAATTCTTTGACTGATTACAACTCTGAGGAGAAAGTTGTCTGAATGGTCACGGCCTATTTAACTATACCATCGGACATCGTAGAACACTATGTAACGTCCATTTTATATTTAATCTATTTCTTGAATTAATAGAAAACTCTAATCATTCATTCATAATGAAAACATGAAAATTTTTGCTCTTTAAAGAGCAAATAAATGTAGCCAGTGAATGTCTTGAATTTGATAAAAATTATCACAACAAAGAGATAACATTGAAACGACTCAACCAACAGACACATACAAAATGAATGAAATAACAAAAGTAAGCATATTTACACAAACATGGGAAGAGAAAATATTATTGTATTGAAAAATTAAACATTTAATCACCCACGAATTTGTCCAAGTGACGAATGACAAGAATACATCAAAACAACGGCAAAAATATCATAACGGACCAAGAAAACGGGATCGTGTCCCACATGAAATCAAGTCTTTTGAAGCGTATCTCTCTTTCTTCTTCTACATGACTATAACATTCGTCTTTTTCCCCTATTTTTCGACAAATTAAATAATATAATATAAGCCGGTATATAATTTAAAAGACATTCGTAATACATAAAATAAGAGTAAATATCAGCATAGTGCGTGTACCGGTCACACATTACGCCAGCATCTGACGTCATTGCTCAAGTGTGCGTCAAAAATTTCAATAAAGAAATAGAAATCAAAAACATAAACGTCGTTTTAATTCTTCAACGACACGCATTCAAATAAATAATCCATTTAATAATCCATGTTTCATCAATTTAATGACGTTTATTTAATGCGTAGATGCCGCAGTAATTAATATACTCTCTTCTAAGATAAAGAATGATAATATTATTAATTTTATCCACAAGACTGCTCGATCATTCTGTCGTGTGAATTAATAAAAAAAAAAAAATCAAAAAATGGAGAGGAGTAATTTTTATTTTTCATTAATTAAGAAAAAACTTCGGGTTGAATGTGATGCTAACAAAGACATGATTACTTAGTAATTTTGGAGCTCTTTTTATGAGAATAATAATAATATAATAAAAAGAGTAATGATAATTAAATATAATATGAAACTAATTTTGATCAAATTTTGTAGACAGAAAAGGGAAGATATAACGCATGGAAAAATGTGTCACACGTCAGAGTGCGACTGTAAAGTCAAAGCTTTCTCGTGTGCGAATACGTGACCTTGCGGTGAGTGTCCTTGCCGCAGGCAATTCCGCGCTACGGATAATTAAAGAAGGCAAAAATTACCTTTAGTGATTAACAAGAATAATGTGGTATCATTTTTTTAAAATATAAAATTAAAAAAAAATGACAATAATTTTTATTACAATGATAATATTTAAATGTATCAATTAAAGTATTGCGATTTTGCGTGAGATAAATGATGAGGGAAATTAATATAATTACTTAAACTTATCGACTTAATGTAACGAGATTAAATCTTATAACATGACGAGTAGGAGGATGATGATGTGTTATTTTTGACGACTCTGTAGTCTATTTATAATTTCTCAACCCATTCGGTTATTTTGTTCAGTCCATATGCAATTCCGTCCAATGTCTGTTTCTATCTGTGAAGACTTTCTATTTCTACTGATCCAATATGGCGACGATGACTCGATGCCATTGGCTAACGTACTTATTTTCAAAGCATCATATTAACATGATTCGTGAGCATAGTAATAATATGTATCGGTAGAGTAAACAGCAAAAAACATATGAATAGAGAGTCGACAACAAAGGAAATAAATACTAATAAATGTACATGTACATATGGATTGATAATAAAATCATTTAGTGAACTTATTAGAAAATGAATTTTTTTCATTCTTACCTTCATGTCAGCAAGTTTATGCGATCTCGAAATAGAGTTAGGTAACTTAACAGATCCACAGCGACTCTTTTTTCCTGCCCTTCCCCCGCAGAGAAAGTTTGCTCACGTCAACCGTACAATCCAATGGCTTATCTTCCCTTCTCTTTTGCTGCATTTCACGTCGTCTTAAAATGATCAAGAATTTAAACACTATTGTTTCTATTTCTACACTCGTTTTTTATCACTTTGGCATATTTTCGAGGTTATTAACCCGTACAATCATATTCTCTGTTGATTAACCCAAGTTTTCTGATGACAATTTTGATTTACCCATCGGAATTATAAGGTCATTATGTAAATTAACAATTTATCATCACTGAATACGTTAAAATACCAAAAGTGACAGTAATGCTTGTATTCTTCTTGATACTTTTTATTATTAATTGATTCATATAATAAATTTTATTTTATTCATTCAGTCTTTTGTTAATCATTTTGATTAATTAAATATACATTTGATATGTTAGAACCTGAACCAATATGTGTTGAATAAAAAATAGTATCAATACGTTAATGTAAGCAAACATACGATTATCGTCATAGTTAGATTACTAATTTATTTATAAAACACAATCGAAAGTGTTTTAAAGGTTATTTCTTCTATTTCCTCACACCTTTTTCTATTACGAAATAGAGTTTCAAACGTTGTTACGCCATTTGACCATTCCATTTGTTGGTTAATCGAAATTTTAAAAACAATTATACGTATCAAAATGAATACTCAATAAATTTAAGGTCAAATGAGCGAGTTTATCGTATGTTTACGTTTCTTACATTTCATGTATCTCATGGAGAAGTTGTATTCATACTTGCAGCTGTTGTTGAATAATTATAAAAGTACATATCTTTTATGTATTTTCATTAGAATTACTTTTTCTTCTTATTGATTTCAGAGATATAGTATTTTATTTTAAATCACATATTTTTTTTCAAATTTATTTGTCTTTTGATTTTAAGAGTTAGAAATAGCTATTTATAAGTATCAAAGCAAATAAATTTTATATCCTCCAATTTTTTGTTGAGAAATGAATTTTTGAAATAAAAATTATCAAATAATAATCGTAAAAGGATTTTTATATTTTTCTCATTAGTATATATATCTTTTAGTCTTTAATTGCTCCGTTTATTGTTCAACATAATTTTTACTGTAAATGTCATGCTAAAAGCATGAAATTGAGGTTTATTTACTATTTTTTTGTTTTGATTACCTTTTAAGTAATACAGACGAAGTTTATTACAGTTAAAATGATAAAAGTTATATTGTCAATACTATTGCCTCTATTTTTATACTTTTATCTCATCACTCGGAATACTTTTGAGGTTACTAACCTACTAAATAGTTTCTTGTATTGATAAATCAACGATATGCTGACAATTTAATATAAAGTGCATAAATTTATGGTCAATTGCATAGATTTATTGTTTGTTCACGGTTGATGTGACTAACAAGAGATTAAATTTACGTCGTTAATCTACGAATGATTGTTTTAGCAACAAGTGTCGTTCGTGAGACTGAGAATCAAGCGCGCGACATCTTGATCTTTCTCCGAGTGCCCTCAAAAGTGTTCGACACGCCATCTGGGATCTAATGATCGCACTCAATAGACAATGCAATTCAATTGCCATATAAACCCATTTCATAACAGCAGATAAAATCCATGATAATTCCCTAATCTTATCAACCCTTAAGTAAATAATCATTATTGCCACTTTCTTACTCATTTCTTCTTTTTATTCTTTGATAATTTATGTTTGGCATTGACTCTGATTCTTTTGTGTATCAGTAGGAATTTTATTGAATATTTATTTAATATTAAATATTTATTTGATCTTTTTTTCATGAATAATATTTGATAAAATTAATTATTCACTGAATAAGACAAAAAAAGTGGTTGGATTGGAAAAAAACTTGAACATTGTATATTACATCTGTTGCATTATGTGGAAATAAACTTCCAACTTGGTGAAGGTTTTTAATAAAAGGTTTTGTTTTTTTTTTGTCCGTAACTAATATCATGTCGAATCTATGTAAATATCTTAATGAAAAATGTATCTTGCAATTTTTCAACGACTCGAGGGAGCAGAAAAGAGGACTTACAAGTATTCCAAGTGTTTTTCTCTCCCCTCAACTTCTTACTCCATTTCGACTCATCTTCTGACTCTCCAAATATTTCAACGAGACCACTACGTCCTTCGTCACTTCTCCACTTCCTGTACAACTTGCTCTATAAATATGTACTTATCCCTGACATTTTTTAATTTTTTTTACGTTCCGAGAATTCCTAATTTTTTTAGTCGACATGCTTTAGGAGGCTCGAGAGTTGAAAGTAAAGAACAAGAAGCCTGACAATAGGAGTGATAATTTAAAAACCCAAGAGTTTTACTCTTGAAGAAGGGAGAAGTAGGAATTGAAGAGAATCTTTTGCTCTCGAGCATGGAATCTTATAGCGGATCGAATGTACGGAAAGTCTATATGTGGGTCACCGCACAGCAACGTAAAGGTGCGGGGGAAAAGCCCCTCCTGTTTCCATCTCTCTTCATGCCCGCGTGTCAAGTCCTCGCTCTCATGATCGAGTTGTTCACTGTATTTGTTACTTATATGTACCGCTAACTCGTCGACGAGTATTGCGTTCTTTCCACTTTACCGTTACTCAAAAATCTCGAGCGCTTTGCCGGACATGCTTATTAAAGGTGCTCTCATAATTTATTATTCATGATAGGAAAAATCAAAATTTCAAAAATTTACTCTTAGAAAGACAAATTTGCTACAAGTAAATTAAACTCATCAATTATGTTTTTTTCTAATTTTAGACGCCAAAATGAGACTTGAAGAAGACTTGGTTATCCGCAGAAGTCGACCGACCATGATTTCTGCCAAGTATCGAGCTAGAGAAGAGCGTCGACGCTTGTTGAAAATATCCGCTGGAAAACTTAAACGTATCGAAGATCCGGAAGCAAGTCTTTGCAGATCTGTCTTAATAAATAATGCTGTGAGACGACTTCAACGTGAAAATAGAGATGATAAGACGAGAAATTATGGATTACCTATTGTCAGCTATCTCGATGATTCGTCTAAAGAAAACGATGTTAGTGGAAATCTCATCGTTGGATCAGAATCGGACTCATCAAAGAAGAGGTAAATAAAAAAAACTTACAAGTTTTTGATGTTTTTAACTAGAAACATTTGGATGGATTGTCTAATTTTTGTTTTATTTATTTTTAGACTGGGTGAAGACTTAAGAGGAAGTGAGAGTTTGAGCCCTAAACGCCAAAGGCATGATGATTTGGATCTTCAAGATGACGTATTCAGTGACTTTTATATCTTGCCTCCCACTCCAAGACTTCTTTCACATATAGATGATCTACCCGAACCACAAACAGAACATTCCCTACAAAATTACCACGATAACCGACTAGGATCAACCAGCGATACTCGTTCTACAACACCTAGCAGTCTTTTTAGCCCAGACATAGTGGACACCTCACAGTTGTCAATTGGTCGACCGACAGACTTGAACCTGATGGACGTAACGGATGTAGGATGTGACAGCGATCGGATCTGTGACTTTGCAAGGTTTGCTGACTCTGCAAAGACACTAGAAGAGAGACTGGTAGAGTTGCAATCATTAGATGAACACTTTGATCTTTCTAAAATCGAGAGAAATAACAATCAAAGCTGTGGCCGAGCTTTCCACGACATTCAGACTTTCCATAGTCTTGTCCCTGGTCTTGAAACCTAGAGGAGGATAAAATCTAAAGTTTCGTCGGAGGCGCAGACGCGACTCTAAATTTTAAATGCGTCTGATTATACTCCGACATCTTACTCACAACCCAGAAGTGAGAGACTGCTCTATCGGAATACGAGACTGGATAATATGAGTCGGACCAGGTCAAAACGACGTCAGAGAGTTCATCCTTTAAGTATTGGGATGTTAGAGAGGACCATGAACACTAAATCGTCCAAGTGGAGGAGAGACTGCCTTAATCGGATCACACGGATAAAACGTCGTTCATCGACCGTCCGCAGTTCGAATCCGTCTAGCTAATTCGTAAACTTCGGCAGCCGACGTTTACCTTGATTTATCAAGTGTTTCTAACCATTTATTAAGTTGTTGCTCAAGTTTTTTTGCCACTCATTTTATAACTATTAATCTCATATAATATTATAGCTATTTCTATGAGATGTTTTTATTCAATTTTTGAACCAAATATTCTATACGATACAACATGGTCATTTATTACCCGAAAATCGTTTTTTAAATATGCTTGGAAACATCAAAAGGATAGATTTATATTTTAAAAATAAGAAAATTTTTGGAATAAATTATAATTTTGTTGTTAAAATTTATGAAAGTTTTCATAAATGTCATTTAAAACAAAAAAATAAAAAAAAATAAAAATACAACAACGTCAAATAACTGGACTTTTGATGATTTCAAGCTGAATCTACAAAGGTTGTACAATAATTTATGTATTAGATATGTGAATGGAAAACTTTTGCAACACTTTAATAAAAAGAGAGATATTTAAAAAAAAAAAAGTTTAAAAAATAAAATATGAACGGATGAGCCGTCGGTCGTTACGAATCTTTATTATACATGATTATTATACTGTATACACGTTTGTATATATATAGAATATTTTAAGAGCGTAATTGTCTCGCGAGTAATTTTTAGATTTTCTTTGTGAGAGATTTTCTGATGAAAGATTTTTCTTTAAATAATATTGAAATAAATATAAAAGAAAATTTTAACCTCCATAGAAAAACTATAATCGCTGAGACAACACGCGCGTGTAAATAAAATTAAATAAATAATTATAATAAAATAAAAAGTTAAAAAAAATTAAACAGTCAAGAGTAGATGCAACAAACGTATCGAAAATGACATATGGAATTAATCAAGAATTTATTATTGGTGTCGTATCACGACAGGGCCTTAGTTAATTTTCGTTTTTAATCATTTTTGTTATTTGTATTATGATGTTCCATTATTTTTTAAATGATGATGATGATGATGATCACATACAAACGCGTAGCTAAATAGAATTTAAATCATACTATAGCTTTGTCCCCGCGTCAATTTTTCAACGGAACTGATTCTATATATTTAATTATTTTAATAATTAATTTCCATAAAGACACTTTTAATCTTCATTTCAATTACAATGATTGAATCAAAAATTTGATTCAATTTGTTTAGATAATTATTATTGTTCTTAATATTTCTGTTCTGGTTTAACTTACAAAACCACTACAAGACTGTGACAATTAGCAGTAAATCGAACAATTAAAATAATTCATTAATACTGTTCTTTTATTTAATTTTTGATTTAAATTCAGGGGCCATATCTAGAACAATGAGTGAATATCCAGGTTGCAAACAAATGACAAAATAAACGAGTTGTATGAACAATTGTTGAATACAAAATTTTATAATAAATGAATTGAAATATTTTTAATCGAATAAAGAAATGTGATAATTAACTTATGGAATTAAAATACAAAAATCAATTAATAATTACATAGCTATAAATTATTGTCAATAAACAGCCTGGTTATCACTAAAATCCAAGTTGATATTGCGCGGGTTAAAAAATACACAGAAAAATCTAATCTTCCGTAGAGTGCCCGGATCATCCTCGATTCGTCAGAAAAGAAATAATAACGACTGCGAGGATGGTTCAAGATGTTTGTATATAGCTACGTAATTCCTTTGAAATAACAAAAAAATAGAATAAATAAAAAATAGCTATGTATAAAGTTTCGTACATTGTTTAGATTTTTAGTATACTAGATATCCAAAATCAGTTACCAATTATTCGAAAATTGCAAATAAACAAATGAAAAAAAATATTCAAAAATGTCATCTTCTGTTTATTATTTTCTACATCTACCTAATCAACCTCTGAAGCATTTTACTACACAATTCATTTTGTAATGAAAAATCATTAATCATTTCAATTTCTATGATGAAATGTTATTATTGTTTAAGAATAAAAAATATTTTCACCTTAAAATGTACCCAAAGTTAAAATATTCAGAAGAATTTTATAAACTTAGATAAAAATTTATATTAATTGTCTACATTTTAATTTTTTATATCACTTTAAAAAACTGTAATTATTTTTCATTATATTTATTGAAAAAAAATTCTAAATAAATTTATTGTTATAAAGAAAATTAGATTAAACTACGAAAATAATTTACAACCTTATTTATAAATTATTTTATTTTATTTAATTAAAAGATATCCATAATCTCTTCTAAAAAATTATTCAAAATGCTTCAAAGAATCTTATATTATTATTACTTTTTATTATAATCTACTCAGTAAGCGAATGGTAAGTAAATGTATGTATATATTTTAAAGTAAAATATCTATAATTACAGTTAAATGAGTCCACCGTGCAGTTCGGAAATAAGGATGAAATGAAAAGGTAAAATGTAGAGTGGCGACATGCACTAGCAAGATTCATAAAGTAAGGACGCCAAGTTTCACTATTTTGCTTTCTTGTCATATTATCAGTCAAGCACTTTGAAAAGGAAAAAGAAAGAGAAGGTATCATTCAGCCAGTGCACTCATATACGCATTAACAGTGAGTGAGGAGAGAAGATAAAAGATAAAAAAATCAACAAACCACTTGTTTCTATTTTAGATAATAAAATAATAAACATTAATCTATAACATATTCGTTATAATTTACAATTTGGTCCGTTTAATTCAAATAAATGATATTAATTTAATCATATCATTATTTCCTTCCCTATACTCTCACTCACAGAAATTTAACTTCTTATATGTATAACGATCATCAAGCTCTCATATTTTTTTTGTATTTTTATTGAGTGTTGCGAATATATACAAAGGATGAAGAACCTAAATAGCTATTACATAGTATAACTAAATAAACAAAGGCTTGTTATAATAGTGATAACATATTAATATTAATTTAAATAACATAATATTAATTAATTAATTAATGAAACCTCTATGGCTGCATGAAATAACCACATGTCTCTTATTAATTAAAAGCTATGAAGTTATTTCACAGAGTCATTGAACTGTAATTTATGTTGCATTCACTTTCATCGCACATTTATACGTAGCGATGTTTTATTTGTATTTTCTGCTAGAAAAATGGATCAGAATTTGTTATTTGATAATTATTGTTAATATCTCACCAGCAATCTCATTCGTTTACAGATTGCATTTAATTAATTATTAACTAATAATTAATCAATCATTTCAAATAGTTTATTAAATGATTCAAATGAAATATTGAAAATAAAAAATTTGTAATTATTGCTTGAAAAATATCTTTAATTAAGCGATAATAATGAATTTATTAACTCTTATGTCAAAAAGTTTTATGTATACTCTTTGTTACAATCGGAGTTTTTGAAATTTTTTGTTTTTATATATCATTACAAAATTCATGTCAGGCCAAGTACATTTTGGCTCTGGAGTTATTCTTTTTATTATTAATAAATTATATTTAAAAATTATTTATGATTTTTTTCTTTGCTCATATTGTTTTTTCTTCATGCTTTCTTTTTTTCCTTATTAAACATATACACAGATTTCTTGAGTTCTATATACTATATATGCCTTGAAAAACTTATTTCCATTTAAAATTTAAATTTCAGTTATTATCAACTCTGATTTTATTTTTTTCACAAATATTTATACCCTTTGCCACCAGAAAAATAGAATTCTTAAAACTTAAACTCACATCTCCCACACACACTTGTCGACATAACGTCATCTAAATTATTTAAATTTATTGCGACCCATGGAGGATTTTTACTAACGATTCTCCAATTTATAAAATATTAAATTAATTCATTACTTGTATCTTATATTCTAAAATAATATTCATAATAATAGTAATAATAATAATGATAATGAAAATAATAACTATTAATGATCAATAATAATAATAATTAAAAATAATATTATTAATATTAATAACAGTAATATTAAGATGAGCAATTATTGAATCGTTATTAAAAATCAGCAAGAGGCCACCATAAAGCTCATAGGACATCGAGCGTAACAACGATTGTTTTGTTTCTTAAATGATTAAGCGACAGCAATACTCACTTTTTAAATTCGATATACATATATTTATATATAGATATATCAAAAATATCCTTAGTAAAATAGAGCATTTTATATATAATATATTTATATATTGTGTACCGATTCGAGTACTATTTCCATCATAGTCCACTCGCAAATACGTAATGTATATTTATATAAATTGCGACTTGCTTTTTCCTTACAATAACCGGAGAGAAAGCCGCTTCAACATTTCGTCAATTTCCTTACTTTTATCAACGATACTTGAATATATTGGCGAGTTTTTTAAACTTTTCTTGAGCTTTTTTAAAATTATAACTTGATGAAAAAATATCCTCAAATTCGACAGATAAATTCTAAATAAGATTTAAATATAACTACTTTTTTCTTTGTGTTCTTTTCGGGCAGTTATTATTTGATATATTTTTTTTATTAAAAAATTATTTTCATCATCAGGCATATTCTCTCCGTAGTATCAGTCCCTTTTACTACTTTCTTAATTTATTTTTTAAATATTTACATACACTCTATCACTTACGAAACAGCCATTTTATGTCATCATTCATTCACTTATTTTCGCTTTTGTATTTTTTTATTCAATTATTTTTTTTTCATCATTTCATTTAGATAAATTTATTATTTAATCATCAATTAAGCGTTTTATCTTCGTCATTTCAATGCTTACGTAAACAATTCATCCTCAATCTTGAACGTTACGTTATTCAGATATAGTTTCAATTCGATATGAAAAGATAAGATTGAATACGAATGATAACAAGGTTTCACGACCACAATGGAACAATAGTTATATTAAATGTTATTTAATCGATTGTCAACTAAAATGTCGCTTTATCTATTTACAGTGCGATTAGAGAATAAAAATAATAATAAACATAATAAATAAGCTCAACGCATTGAAATCTAAATTCTAAAGTATCTTTATACGTAATGTCTAGACTTTGTATTTTTACGGTTTTTATTTTAATTCTATTGATTTCTGCGTAAAAATTTATCATTGTGAAGTCCATGGAGACTCACAATAATGATTATATTGAATTGTATCATTCGAGGAATAAAAATAAAAAATTATCGAATAAATTCGATGATAATTACAAGAGACGTGGAAAGAAAGGGTAATAAAATATGATTCCAAGTCAAATTCATTAGAAAAACGGCATCTCCGGCAAAAGCAAAAAAAAATTCATGATTCAGAACTGAGTTAAATTCTAGTAGCTAAATAAAATCTTAATAGTTTAATTACGATGACTGGTGTTTTGAATTTCCATGCACCTACACATTCATCGCCTATGTATTTAAATAAGTCATTTCACAAAAAAAAAATTCGCAAATAGAATAACTATTGATAATTAATTAATAATATTAATAGATTATTAAAAACTATTAATCATTGACGAATTTATCTTCTCGTCATTTTCTTTATTATTCTTGTGACGATTAGGCACTTCTCATGTTCAATAATTAATTAATTCGATTCAAAGCTTCACAATTTTATAAATCATTCCCGTCACAGTTGCTCAGTCATTTTTTTTAAATAATAATTATCATTATGTTGATCACGAGTCCAATAATCGTGCATTAAGAATAGAATATCAAATGTTGATACACATTAAATAGTAAAAATGATGAGACAGGAGGTTGTATGTTTACTTACATTCGATTTCCTCCTTAACGTAGAATATCTGTTTTGATCTGCAACATTAAATTATCAATTGTCTCAATCTGTACAATTACACAATCAATAGCTCTTTGTCATTTGGATTTCTTCATTATTTTTGGTCTCCGTGGTCTGTGTCACTTATCAACAGGCCTAGAAACAGTTTGTGGTATCACTGTCAAGGATTTTGGAATTTTTGGTAAAATTGGTATGGGAAGGGTAGAGGGTTTAGTTGTAACTTGAATTGATTTAGGGAGATTCAAATTATTGAGAAGATTTTGTGCTGGAGTATTTTCATTGACGAGTGATCGAACATCACAAATAAGAGGTTCAAAATCTCCTCGACTTTGACGATTCAACATTTCCTGTTGCATCCTCAAATGTTTTTGAAATTGAGTTTGTGATAATTGTGCTTTTTGATACTGAAAAGTCGTATTCATATTAGTCACAGCCGTGGAATTAGTCACAGTCGATGAAGTTATTTTTTCATTTAACATTTTTTGCTTCTTGAGATTTTTGAGCCTTTGAAAATCAGGCTCAGTTAATTGAAAAACCTTTCCTCCTGATGTATTTCCAGTAGAAGTGATTTTACTTGGAAATCCATCTTTTCGTTTAGCACTACCATTTGTAGCAGTGACATTGCCACTACTCGATGGTAAATTAAGTCTTTGAAGATTAGGAGGTGGCTTCTTAATAATGGAAACTCCGGAATTAATTTTAAGAACCTTAGGGGGGTTTTGTTTGGTATTGAGCTGATTTCCTGTAGATTTTGTTTGAGTAGCAGTGACCGGCGATGTCGTTATTAATGTACTTGTGCTAGGAGTAGAAAGCCTGTCTCTTTCCATGACAAAACCTCCACTTAATCGTCGGGAATTGCTGTACTCCGTAGATAAAGGTTCAGTGATGGGTTCATCCATCTTTTCAGGACCTTCGTAAGATATTAATCGATTCTGGACTGATGTAGAATAATTAATTGCATTTCGAGATGCATTAGGAGCCAGTACTAAATCACCAGATCGATAATATTTCTCTAAGAGTATTAGATGACGTAGAAAAGAACTCTGATTACCATACGGCCTTTGTAGCTCTTGCCAAAGAAGCTTGGTATCACGATCATACTGAATTATGGTCGCACATTTTTCCCATCCCTGAGGAGTTACTTCTCGAACATTTGAAAATTCAATATTCGCATGAAGACCCATTTCTTCCTCACCTGGAAATAAAGTACGTACGCTGATAGATGGATTTGCTCCAAGTCTTTGTACTACCGGTGTTATATCATTATTTAACCTCGGTCGTTTTGGTAATCTTGTTAAAGTAACTTCTTTATCCATTGCTAATATTTCTACAACATCTCCACCATTATCAGAGAACACAGGAGAATCTGTAGAATACAAATGCTGATCAAGTGCTTTTCGTTTCTTTAACTTTTCGACAGTACTCTCTAAATCTAGTATTTGCGGTTCCGTCGAAGTATTTTCTTCATTTGTTACAGAAGTTTTTGGAAGTTCACGAGTTTCAGTTTCAGCACCGGACATCACAGATTCTAGCTTCATAGGTTCTGGAGTAGATTTTTCTGAAGTTGAATTTTCATCTGGTGATTTAGAAGAGCTACTTTTATTTTTAGATTCACTACCTTTCGACTTTTTACGTTTGTCTTTATTTGATATACTCTGGGACTCTTCATCGTCTTCATCTCCCGATACTTCGATGTCATTGTAATGTAAAATACGTTTTCGATAACTTTTAGTAAATACTTTGTGATTAGTGTTCATATTTTCAATGTTTCTATACCTCAATTGAATTTGAGTAAAGTATCTACAAAGTTTACAAACGAAAGTTCCACCTTCAAGAGGGATCGGTATCCCTTGCTGTTCAAGTAAATGATTGAGCTGTTCAGTCTCTGCAGCTGGTAATTGATGCGTTGCATTCCTAGCCAAACGTCGTGTACATAGTGAACATGTTAGGAATCTTTCAATTATAGCATAGTGATCGACACAGAAAGACATGGACGTGTGTTGGCTGGGTTCCCAGTTAATATCAATGTTTACCTGAAAATTAGTTTATATAATTAAATTTTAATTATTCGAAAATATTTTCTGAATCAAATTATATTATTATTTTTGATACACTATTTTTATAATATAAAAAATTAAACTTACCCGATTTTGAATACAAGGTTTAATTTTATGGAGCCAGCGTCTTTTCACGAGATGTCTTGCGGGACCTCGACAATTCTTAACATAACATTTGGATACCAAAAGTTGTCGATGAACTCTTTGTGGTTTTGATCCAGAATTAGTAGGGCTCATATTTGCCTAAAATTGAAAAAAACATTGACTATTGTAAATATTTTTAAAAATATTTGATTAATAATTTAATTTCTTTATATGAAAAATAAAATTTTATTCATTGTTTAATATAATTATAGGTATTGTACCTTTCTGTCTACGTGGCGATAACATGCATCGCAAAGACAAGAATCTTTAGTGAGATGTCGTTCAATGTTTAAGATCTTTCTTCGTCTTTCATCAGACTTCAATTGTGCTAAATGCATTGGTGTGTCTAAAGAACCAAATTTACCAAAGCAATAGCAACAAACATCTGCACAGAGTCTTCCTGGATGAATAGAAAAGGATGAAGATTTCTCAGGAATTATTAAACGTGGTCGATTCATCTCTAGTTGAGTTTGAAGTTCATCTGTAATTGAAACATTCTTTTACAATTCTCTTAGCAATATAATCACTAAAAAAACATTAATAAATATTATAAATAATAATTTTTGGTAATTTATGATAAAACTAACTTTAAATAAGATAAAAAACAAAAATTAACTTTTGCAGTTATTTTATAGATTAAGTTAAAGAAAAGCAAATGAAGAGTGATACATATATACAAATATATATGTATATAGGAAATGTTAGTATTTTTTATTTTAAATAAAATAATTAATAAGCTTGCTTATGTATTAATAAAATTTTGTGATTTTTTTGAAAGTGGATAAAAGCAAGTAAGGTATGATTAATAATTTAGTTATGCCCGCAACCAGGATTACCGAATATCATAAAATAAGGATGTCTTGGGTTAGTAGAAAACTTAAGAGTCGCACCAGAACTGCTATCTCCCGAGCCACTGGTCCCTAACTGTAAAAAAAAATTATAAATAAAGATTAATAAATTATCTTATGATATTATTTTATATTTACGTAGTGATCATTTAATTAAAAATAATTTTTACTATATTATAAATTTTTTTAGAAATATACATATTTTTTGTCATTTTCTGTTAAAATTTAATGATAGTATTGATGATATAAAATAATATAAAACTAACTTCATTCAGCAACTGTAAAATACATTAATTTTTTATATTCTATTTAATATAAATATTATCTTTAACTGACTTTTCTTGAAGTATATAAAAAATTATTTTTTTGGCAAACAATCACTCACATAGTTCGGAAATTAAAAAAAATAATCACCTCTTTCTGGATGGTATAGAACTCGGGTGAGTCTCCATCGCCGTCACTACGACCTTGTTTGAGAACCATCTTCAAAGGTGATCTTGATTGTTTCTTGTCTCTGTCTTTATCCTTTTCTTTCTCCTTCTCCTTGTCCTTATCTTTATTGACTCTAATAATGGTCTTCAAAGTACCAGTATATTGTTCACGTTTGATTTTTTGATAATGCAATCTTTCAGCAGCTTTTTCTAATGACTCCAAACCAAGTAATCGAAGAATTGATTCTTTTCTTTCCTTATCTTCAGGAGTTTCTAAAATTTTAAGAGAGACACTACTGGTAGATTCTCCTGACGTGGAAGCTTCATCAGAATCTTTCAAAAAGTTTTCTGATATTTTGTTGTTTGATTTACTCTCAGCATCAGAATGAGTCTCAGGATTTTCCGATTCCTTTGGCTTATCACTTCCACATTGATCTCTAGAAAGTCTATCAGTCTTCCCTTGTGAACTTTCAATGTCATTTTCGGATTTTGAACGATTGTCTTTGTTGTTTACATTTCCAGGAGAGAAAGCTCGTAGGCTTTTTGTGCTATCTAAACGTTTAGATAATTTATCAACAGAAAAAGATCTTTTTTTTTCATTAATTGTAGCAACTTCATTATCCAATAAAGTTTCTTCCTTTTGCTGATCTGATTTTCTAGTATCTCGACGATTTCTTTTCGACTTTAAACTCGTCTGAGACGGTGAAGTTTCTTCTTTACGCTTTTTAACTTCCCTACTTCTTCGGGTTCTTGTTTGTGGCTCAGGCTCTTCTATTTTAACGACTACGGAATCTGATTCATCCTTATTAGACTTTGTTTCTTTTATTTCTGTAGTATCTTCAATATTATCAGCTTTAGAATTATTTTCTTCCACTTTATTAACGCCATCATTTAATTCAATTGTTTTTGAAACTTTTTCAGCTTTTTTCTGTTTATCTCTCGTCCTTAAAACTCTTTTACTTTCTTCATTAGGGCTTTTACTTTCTTCACCATTATTCTTTTTTTCGTCAGTTGGTTTAATTTCTTCTTCCTGATTTATTTTTTTAGGGGAAGTTTTGTCAGATTTTTCAATGGATGAACTTTCTGGATGATCTGTTAAATCGCTTTTGTTAACTTTTTCAATTTTCGTATCTTCAACTTTATCAATTTTTTTCAAATTTTCATCTGAGATGCTTTCAGGCGAATTTCGTGATTTTTTATCGTTATTTAAATCTTCCTTTATATCACTTGAATTTTCAAACGTAGAATCAAAATTATTTATTTCTTTATTTTGAGAGTTTGAAGATTGAATTTCATTATCTTCTTCTTCAGCCTTATCATTTTTATTAACAGTATTGTCTGGTTCAGCAACAAGTCTTTCTACTTCTTTAGAAATTGTTTCTAATGTCTCAGACTCATCAAGACTTGCGAGTAAATTAAATGGTTCGTCTGAAGTATTTTCTTTTTCATTAAAATAATCTTTTTCCTCATCAATACACATTTCTTTTGATGAAGTACAGTTTAATAATTTTTCAGCATCAGCCTCGGATGGAGAAATTTTTTCATTAGTTATGTTTGCTGTCTCTTTTTTATTACTTACTTCATCTTTAGAAGTGTCGGTTGACTCAGCGTTCTTTGTTTCCAATTCTATCTCACCCATGACTAGCTTCTCGATCTCTTTGGCAGTATCTGCAACTTTAGGCACAGAATTTTCAGAGCTAGTGTTCGAAGAGGTTGATTCATTTTTAGATACATTAGGTTCATCTTTTTCATTCTCTTCTAAACTGATTTTTTGAGTTTCTGTACTTAAAGGTGCTACTATTTCTTCTATTTCTGGAATATCATAACTTTTTCCAAGTGTTAAGGATTTTCCTGGCCCAAAAATTTTACTTTCAATTGATTTTGCAATCGTTAGCTTAATACTTTCTATCATTTGATCAATCTGTGATTTAGGTGCTGTTCCATCAGTTTTTTCATTACCATACAATGAGCCCATGGTTTTTTTAACATCAATATTTAAACTGCTTCGCCGTTTAATTGGTTGTTTATCACTTGTTAATTTAGCTAACAAGCTATCTTTTCTCATATGATCTAGACTTGAAGATTTTTTTGGTTCTTCAAGATTTTTTACCACCGCAACTTTAGTAGTATCTTCGAGCTCATTGTCCTCAATTTTAATTTGAGTGTCAGTGCTTTTAGCTTTTGCCTTTGAACGTAGATTTGGACCAGCATCTTCACCTCTGTCAACACTTTTGTCTGCTTGTTCGCTATTGTTATTTTTCTCGGACTCTACAGTAATCTCCATAGCAACATCCAAGTTTTCCCCACTCTCATCTTTCATATTTAATGACTGTTCACTTGAAGAAGACTCACAAAGTTCCTCATCATCTATAGTTTCACTCACAGTATCCTCAGCATTCAACCGTCGATTTTTTTTCTCACCTTCACCGGCAGACTCTAGTTGACGTAATTTTCCATTTCTCAAACTTCTCTGACTTGTTCTCTTTTTCACTGAATTTGAGCCTTGACTCTCTGATGAAGTATCTACACTCTCCTCATCAGACTTTTCTTCTTCAACTTCGGTTACTTCCTTTTTTATCTCGTTCTCGTCCATTAATACTTTCTTACTTCTAGTGACCTTTCCTTCAAGTTTTTCGGTGTCTCCCGAAAATTCAACAAGTTCACTATCACCAAGCATGGCGAGAACGTCGTCTATCGTACTGTCAACAGAGTTTTTAGCTCTTAACCATTTAACCTCACTGGAGGGACTTGTCTTACGATTCTTCAGGTACGTTAAGTCTCCTTCAAGACTCTCTTTACCCACAGTTTTTTTTCCTCCAGGCAGTTTAGTTGCTTTGGCACTTCTTTTAGTCGGTACTTGAGTAATAATTTTAAATCCACCTCGATATAGAAATGTTTTCATTGGCTTTGGACTATTTTTAATATGACTAATAAGGGATTCTGTGTTTTTATCAATCGAAGGCACACACTCTTCTTGTTCACCAACAGCCTTGGCTACAGGCTTGGTTTTTTTGGTCCTATTAAGATTACCCTTAGTGCTTTTACCACTTGCAGGTGTCGTAAGTCTCTTTAAATTTTTTACTGGAACGTTATTCGTTGATTTTACTTGGATGAGATTAGCTTTAGCTGCTTTTAACTTCTTTTTACATTTCAAGCTCGCAGTGAGCTTTTTTCGTGGCAGGGTTGGCTCTAACTTGGATGATAGTTTGGTACTACCTGTTGCTACCGCTTCCAATATGTACGCTGGAAGTGTCTTGCCTTTTTTACTCTTGTTTGGTGATGATGACAAACCAGAGTCATTGTTCGCCTTCTGCTTTGATTTTGAAGACGCTAAGGGTTTCTTTTCCCTGGATGCCATTTCACTTCAACCCACATTGGGCTCCTGTAATAACATTTTAAACTATTGTCATATTAAAATCAAATGTTCAAAATTGATTTATGTACAAAGTAATAAAATTAAAATTAATTTAAATAAAATTATTTAAGAATTTTATAATATAATATAAATAAGTTTGTTTTTTTATTTTTTCAAGAGTTTCTTATCGAGAAAGTGATAAAACGCCTCCATTTTTATTTTATTCTTACTTTAAGATGACGAGAAACATTCGTGAGAATTATATGGCATCAGCAAGAATGAAGGAGAATGAGTTTTAAGTCAGACGAGACGCGTGTCTTGTAAGGAGTGCGATTGAAGACGGGTGGTGGGGCTGCAGGATGCGGCCCTGGTTGTAGAGAAAAAATTACGTGACAAAGTTTGCATTTACACGGATGTATACGGTATGCGACTCACCAATGGGTCGCAATGGAGCGCCATTCAGAATATTTTGTGTGATTTTCATGACTTTCTAATAATCTCGATGCCAAATTATCGTTTCAGTATTTAACTCATTAAGCTATTTCACTAATCAAAGAAAAATTTCGATGCTATTACAATGGAATCACTTGGAAAATACTCAGACAAAGCTCGCGGAAAAATCGCCACGAATAAACAAAAGGTCGAAACGTTGAGTCGCTAACTTTTGGCGTATAGTTTCATGCTTTATAGCTAATTGTAATATAAAATCACGACACGAAAAGTTTTTATTCATGCTTAACTTACCTCTGAGGCCAAAAATGTTCCCAGAAGATGGATGTATTTTGTTGGAAAACGGGAATTATATTCCCGTGAAAAACAGTACCGTTGCAGGGTGTCTATGTGCTGTCCTACTGTTTTCACACTATTGCCATCTGATGGTCGTGGAAAGTACGTCTCCCGTGTCCATATTCTATTCGTGCTAATGAGGACACGAATGACGAAACTATTTAGTCAAAATCAACCCCTGAACCTGTTGTACAATTTCAGTAACATAACCTACAATAATAGTTATCCAATATGCAATTGCTTTTTGATGACTTTTATAAACTCTCTGATACTATTTAACCTGATTCCTAATGGCAAATTCAAGGGCCTCGTTAACACGACGGAACAACGCGGCACTTTTCCCGTTCGAGGTTCCTACGTTATATTCACGATAACTTTCAATCACTTTTTCCATGAATTTGAGGAGTTTGACGGAATGATTCTTTTACATTAGTACTGGTAAAGCTTTTTCCACGACGCCAATTCACCACCGAACATGAGGACTAACCAGAAAAACGGATCACGTCACGGAAAAGTTGTAAATGCATGCGAGAACGTGAAGGAAGACGCGCCCGTGCGCATCAATGGCGGACACCCGAACCCTTCGATTTACTCAAAATGGCGGCCCTTCGAATTTTCGCACGTACTGTGATTTCCGCAAACAAAGAATTGCATAGAATCAATGTGACTAATATTCATAGCATTTTACCAATTGTTCAGGTATGTTGCAATAAATTGTCATATTAACATAACCCTGCCACTAATGTTTTTCCCATGAATTTTAATCATTAATCATGCCGGATTGTGTAGTAAAGGGCCTAACAGTAAACCCTTATCATTTTACACTCAATTTTAAGTATATTTTTAGCTTTCACATTTTTTGGCTACCCTTCAGATATTTCACTCTCCATAAGAATGCTCTATTATGTTTATTGAAGAATAAATTTTTAAAGAAAATATAGTTTTTATATAAACTTCTTCAGATTAAACTAATAGTTCAAATATGTAAATGTTGTCTATTTATTACTTGAAATAAATTCATTCAGGTAATAAGCTTATATCATTATATATTTAATTGTAATTTAATTTTGTTTAATCTCATGATTAGTCTAAATTAACTTAAACATATATATAATAACCTAAAAATAAAGTTACTTTTGTCATTCAAATATTATTAGGATATCAATAATCAAATTGTATGAATTTTTTTTTTCTTTTTAAAGATTAATGAAAGATGGATAAGCTTTTTTAAACCACCTAAGTATGATCCTAATACAATATACACTGATTTTGAAAAAGTAGAAAATCCTAAAGAATGGCCATATGTAGAATGGTATTTAAAATCTCATTTTATACCAAAACCTAAAAACGAAGAAAATTTGCCCTCTGGATGGGTACCACCAAAAGGTTTGCTAAATTCTAAATGTTACTATCAGCTTATTTAATTGTTCAATATTTTTAATAAAAAATTTTTTAATTCCGTAGAAGGTGCAAAAAAACTTCCTTATTTTGTTCAGAGATCTAAGAATTTCATGTTACCTGTTTATTTAGTTCGAAAGAATCGAGGATTAAGAAGATTAACAATTATTAAAAAAATCGAAGGTGATATTCTTCGTTTGGAAGCAGAATTGAAACCACATCTTGAAAAATTAGCAGCAAAAGAGATTGGATGCCAAATCAGTGAACCTGGAGGAGTGATTAAATTTCGTGGAGATCATGTCTCAAGAGTTAAAGAATGGTTAATAAGTAAAGGATTTTAATGTACATTATTTATATTTGTAATAAAATTGTTTAATAAATGAATTTAAAAACCATGACGATCATAATTTTCCTTAGTAATGAACTTAAAGAAATTTATTTTAAAATTATCATTTAAGTATGTCAATGGATAAAGGTCCTCAACATAAAAGTAAAAAGCTATAAATGAATTTTTATTTTTTATTTCATGTCAATAAGTATTTTCTTATTGTAAGCGTACGACGGAGTTTATTTAAAAATCTTTCCTTGATTAAATTTACGTCCTTCTTTGTCCTCGCCAGTCCAAGTTAAATATTTATTAACTATTTCCTTTGTTTTTTCATCTTTTGGATCCAGTTTGGTCCAGGTATATGACTCATAGTCTACTTGCCAGTCGGGACTTAGCTAAAAAATACAAAAAAATAATTCTTACCAAATTTTCCATCTAAGACATTATTACTAGAATGTTAAAATTGATATTTACCGTAAATGCAAGATCTTGGCCTCGCCAAATAAACACACCACTAATGGAACTGTCATTGTCAGTACCATAGAGGCAGAAACTACCGAAAGCTTGTTTACGCATCTTATCAAGCCGTTGGTACATTCCACTGATGAGATTGCAGGACATAAAAACTTTAGCTAATTCTTGATTATATTTATATTCACCAAGCCAAATGCTGTAATGTTCAGGGTCAAACTTTTGCCAAAAGTAAGGAACAGAAACGGATTCATCTTCATTTGAGTAAACTCGTTTGAAATCATCCATGTCAAAGGTTCCTTTAGGCATGGCATCGAAAGGATTTGAAGACTTAGGTTCAGCAGCAAGAGCTGCATCAGCAGCATCAAGTTCCTCAGCAGGTTCTTCTTTTTTATGTTGCTCTTTTTCTTTCTTCGAATGTTCTTTTTTTTCCTTAGGTTCCTTCTCCTTCTTTGACTACCAAATTTATCAATTATTGCATCAGTATTTTTTCGTGAAAAAATATAAATATGAAAAAAAAATAATAATAATAATATTTACCTTTCCACCTTGAGTCTGAGCATACTTTTTAGGATCATATTCTAAAGCTTTATCAGCCAATTTGAAGTTACCAAGAACAGCAATTGCTTGTGGTTGGTTAACAATTGTCTGAAACCACCTATTCACGTTCTGATAAGGTTCACGAACCTTAGGTTCAAGAACGTATTGATATAGATGTAGAAGAGTCATTGCTACACTAATATCAGCAAGAGTGATACGTTCTCCTACTAAATATGTTTTATAAAGAAGGTGAGTATTGAGAGCGGTTAACGCTTTAGCCAAATCTTCCTTTGCATGTTCAACAGTCTGAAAAATAATAATCAATAAACTATCAGTTGATGGAATTGATGTCATAAACAATGATTTTGTAAACATTAATCAAATCATTCTAGGATAATAACAATTCCATAGAGTTCTGCATTAATGTTCTTTATTATGTCTCCTTGTGTTACGAGTTGGACCATTAAATAAATCCAAATCGCCTTTGGAAGGAGAAAATCTTTTAATATGCAATAATTCTAACCTGCTTGTTGTATGGCATGATTCCTAGAAGTGGAAATACCCAAGCGCAGCTTGAGGGAAGAATTTCTGAATCAGCAAAACTCAACCATTGGATAATTTCTGCTTTCTCTTCGTCAGTTTTACCTCTAAGTTGTTCATTGGCCACTATAAAATATTTGTAAAAATAATAATTTTTCTAGTTTATTCATTCTAATAATTATAGTATTTATGTAGAGTAAAACGTAAACTCATAGGTCTCATAAGGTATTTCCTTATTTTAAAGTATAAAAAAAATCCATTTTGTCCATTTGAATCACTTACATAATTCAAAAGAACTAGTGAAATTTTTTACATTTAAAATAATGTGAGCCATGACTGGGGGGAGCAGACAACTGTGTTTTACCCAAGACATCGTTAAATTTAACTATTTGAATTTAATATTTTTAATATCAATTTTCAAGTAAATTAAATATTTTCTTAATTGTTCTATAAAATAATTTTGTAAATATCATTACTCACCATAATATGCGATAGCATTACTTTCAGTAAGGTACTTGCCATCTTTTGACTCGAATGCTGGGACCTAAAAATAAATCATTGCCAATATTATTCAGTTTGAAAGCAGATCAGAAATAGAATCAGAAAATAATTGAATTTACTTTATTTAAAATTAACTTAATAAAATGTCAAGATGATTTGTATGATAGCATATGTCATCATCATTTAAATAAATTCATCACTGACTTTTCTAAAAATATTTACTTTCTGTTATCTGTGATCGAATACTGAAAAATTATTGAATATAAGTTATCACTTACTTTTCCAAGAGGAAATTTCTTCAAAAATTTCTCAGTTTTATTGGTTTCACCAAACACGAAATCTTCTGCAACCTTCAACTGAGCCCCAGAATATTGAGCTGCGATCAGAGCTTTATAAGCTCGAAAATTTTCAGGATACGTGTAAAGAGTCTGCAAAAAATCATAGTGTAATTAAATAAAACATGCTTTAAGCTTAATTAAAACTGTACCACACATCATTTTCAACCCATAATCGAGTCGATGCTGAAGGCTGAAAATCTCGCATGTGAAACTTACTCCGGACGCCATTGTATCGTGTTACGGAAAGAGGAAGTTAAAAACCGGCAAGAATGACACAAATATGACCACCATTCAAATGCACATTCAGATTAATAGTGAATAGTCCGTTTCTTCGTTTATTCAATGTTAAATTATTCACCTATGACGCTTACAATAACTAAAGTAAATCCCGTTACTTCATTACATGCACGTTATTGCTGTAACTTTGGTTATTTTTGATCAATAACGCGTGGCAGTTTCTCCTAACTTCGATCATCTTCAACATCCCCTACCTTGCCCTACCTTTTATTGGTTCAGGACGCTCTTTCATTGGCCAATCCGGATGTCACTAAGTTTTGTCGCTCTCACATGAAAACTGAACTCAAAGCTGCATTATTGGAAATCAACATCTAGAACGGAACATCATTTGTATAGCAAATTTTTTATATAAAAAAATAAGAAATGGCTGCATTTAAAGAAATAGTTGCTCTTTACCAAAATTTAAAGCAAGAATGGACTAAAACTCCATGTAATTTAAGTAAATGCGGCGAACTGCTCAACGAATTAAAAGTTAGTATAATTCTTCATTATATATTGACTTACCTATAAGGTTATAAATATACCTAACCTTTTAAACTGTCAAAAACGATTGTCATCATTGTTTCTTTCTATAATTGATGATAAAAATTTAATAAAATAATACCTGTTTATAAAAATACAAGTATTAATGAAATGAATTATCTAAAAGGCTATTATAAAATTTTTTTAGGTTGGATTAACACATTTAATGTTTTTACCAACTTCAAACACAAAAGCTTCACAAAAAGAATTGCTCATCGCTCGTAAGTGTTTTTTTCTTCACTCTAAATTGTAAGATATTGAGATAAATATTAACTCTAATATTTCAAAATTTTTTAAGGTGATATTCTTGAAATCGGAGCACAATGGAGTATTGCAGCAGAAAATATTCCATCGTTCGAACGTTACATGGCTCAACTGAAGTGTTATTATTTTGATTATAAATCAGCACTTCCTGAATCAGCGTATAAATATCAGCTCTTAGGACTGAACCTTTTATTTTTGTTATCACAAAATAGAGTTGCTGAGTTTCATACAGAATTAGAACTCCTTCCATCTGATCAAATTCAGTCTAATGTTTACATTCGCCATCCACTTAGTTTAGAGCAATGTCTTATGGAAGGTTCATACAATAAGATATTTTTAGCAAAGGGCAATGTACCTGCTGCATCTTATACTTTTTTTATTGATATCCTATTAAATACTGTACGAGATGAAATTGGAGCATGTATGGAAAGTGCATATGATAAAATTTCACTCAAAGATGCATCAAAAATGTTAAATCTTAGCTCTGAAAAGGACACTATTGCATTTGCGAACAAGAAAAATTGGAAATTGGGTAAAGATGGATATTTTAATTTCAGTACATCTCATGAAAAGAAGGCAGAAGAACCTATACCAAGTGCTGATCTTGTTACCCTTGCAATCGATTATGCTAGAGAACTGGAAATGATTGTTTAAACATATTTATAATAGTACTAAATTTTTTTAAGTATTCCTTTCAATTATTTCATATATTTTTCGTGTAATATACAAACTAATTCAAAACTATCTGTGTGAATTTCATTTATTTTAATTCATGAACAACTTATTTGTTTGAGGTATACATCTTCATCTCACTTAGAGTATTCTGTATAAAGTAGTTTTTTATTAATCATAGCAATTTGAATTCAACCGCGTAAAGTATCGCAACCAGTCAATAAAACAGATTTCATGAAAACGAGGTCATAAAATGGAAGTCGTCGGCCACAATCTGCAGGTGGAGTGAGGGAGGAACATACGAATCGTCGAACACCCAGCACGTCAACGACGGTGGGGCCCGTCAAATCTGGTAACATCGAACATGGCGTCTGCTAGGTTATCACCGTGAGTTCTGTCCGTGTTTAAAGCCGTTTATGCGGAATTTTCGGGGATACTGCGGGCTGACGCGGAGCACCTCGTCTTCGGGGAGGCGTCCATGCCCCTCTGAATCCCGTGCAAGCCATCCTCGTGGCGCTTAGTTCCAGTGATAAACGTGCGAATGGTCGTGTAAACAGTGTCTTGATATACACACCCTGACGCGAGAAAATTTGACGATTTTACTGCGATTTTAGTGCCAGTGTAGTCATACTAATACACTGATTTATCTTTATTTATATCTATCAAATCATCAACCATTTGAAATCAATACCCATAGACATTTATTTTTAATTTATTCTTTGAAAATGATAGATTTGCTTACTAATTGTTTTTATACACGGGGTAACGAAATTCTTCATTTCACCCTGCTTTGCACATTACATTGTGTCAATGAAATGAAAAATAGTGCAATTTAAAAGCATCAAATATTAATCATACTCATTAACTTGTATTTAGTGTACTAACAAAAATAAACAAGCATAAAAAATGTTTTTTTTTTAATTAATGACAATATAATCGAATATTTTTTTTTCATAGTTGAACTTGTTATGAATTGATAAATAGAGTAAGCAAGTGAAAATATTGTCTTGATCACACTTGCTATGATTATAAATGATATTTATAAAATTTCCTTTAATTGTATATGACAATAAATAGACTTGAAATATTTGTATTGATGAAGACAGAATAATTTAGATTTTAAGGAAGTTTTAGGATAATTGTTTATCTAAATACAGTGTTTATGATGAAAGACATTAAGAAGACTAGGCTATAATGACACTGGAATAATATAAATACAGAAAGTGTAGAGCCATATGCCGCCAGCCGGGCTATCGGCAAGAGGTTTGATTTCATTGATGGACCACGGACAATCCGATGCTCGTCATCGGAGCGAGCGATTTTTATTATATTCAGAGAATGGCTCCTCTCAGCCTCATACACCAAGTACAGCTGCTTCGTCGCCAAGATATCACAACACACCAAGAGAAAACAACTTTCAAAGGTATTTATCAAAACAAGGTTATTAGTTCAACCTTTTAATCAATTTCTATCATTGATTTAATTGATAAAATACTTTTTTAGCTACGGATATCCCTACGGGCGGACATCAAGTAACAACATGTCTGACAGCAGTGTCTCGGACACTCACAGTGGTGGAACCGCCAGGACTGTCTCTCAACAGACCAGTCCATCTCATGCGACCCACTCGTCGTCCCACTCTAGGCAAGACAACAGCGCAACGATTTTCACAGCATTATATGACTATAATGCAACATGCGAGGACGAATTGTCATTACAAAGAGGTGAAACAGTGGAGGTATTATCGAAAGATTCCAAGATTTCTGGAGATGAAGGTTGGTGGACGGGGAAAATCCGTGGTAAAGTCGGTATTTTTCCTGCTAACTTTGTTGCCGAGGCTGAATGCATTGACCGGGTATCGTCGGTGATCGATCAAGTTCAACCTGTCGAGATTGATTTCAATGAACTGCAATTGGAAGAAGTAATAGGAGTTGGAGGTTTTGGTAAAGTGTACAGGTAGGAATGTCATTGAAAACCTTATAATCATTTCAAATTGTGTCATTTGATTAACGTCATGATAAAAGGGTTTTTTTCATTAAAGTTGTCGTGATCGAAAGTTGAGTATTGAATTCATGCTGAATGTTCAACACTCGTATATTATTATGCTTACAATATTTTTCTTTTTTTTCTTTTTTATTGTTTAATTTTCTTGAGACGTTTTTTACATAAAACGTGTTTAATTTTTTTTTTTAAATATAATTAGATAAACAAAATATACATTAATTTATTAAATATAACAACATGAATGTAAATCAATAGATAAAATGTTAAGTACTAAATAATGATATGTTTTTTCAGAGGATACTGGCAAAAGCATGAAGTAGCAGTGAAAGCAGCTCGACAAGATCCTGATGAAGAGCCTAGTGTAATAATGGAAAATGTTCTCCAAGAAGCAAAGCTCTTTTGGCTTCTTGAACATGAAAACATTGTAAAGTTAGAAGGAGTTTGTTTGAAGATGCCAAATATGTGCCTGGTGATGGAGTATGCTCGTGGAGGAAGTTTGAACAGGGTTTTAAGTGGCAGAAAAATTCGGCCCGACGTCCTTGTCGATTGGGCTATTCAAATAGCTCGAGGAATGGATTACCTTCATAACAAAGCTTTAATAAGGCTCATTCATAGAGATCTCAAGAGCTCAAATGGTAAAGTTTTTTAGATATTTAAGAAGTGCACAAATTTTTTTTAAGGAAAAAGAATCATTAAAAGATATATTCTTTAAATCATTGTTAGTAAAAGAATACATTTTGTTGATTAGTTTTGCTGAGTGAACCGATTGAAAATGACGATCTCCAGTGTAAAACTTTGAAGATTACTGACTTTGGGTTAGCCAGAGAGGTCTACAAAACAACTCGAATGTCCGCAGCCGGAACGTATGCGTGGATGGCTCCAGAAGTAATTAAACAAAGTACTTTTAGTAAAGCCAGTGACGTATGGAGGTAAGATTTATTTTTAACAATGATTTTAGATGATAATCGATTGAATAAACGATTTATTTGTAGTTATGGAGTACTCTTGTGGGAACTCTTGACAGGTGAGACTCCTTACAAGGGTATTGACGCGTTGGCTGTTGCATATGGCGTAGCAGTCAATAAACTTACGTTGCCAATCCCCTCAACATGTCCACAACCTTGGAGATATCTTATGGAAGGTGTGTTGAAGTGTTAAAAATATTATCATTTCTTATTTAGTTTCCGCGAAATGAATGCTGATATTTTTATTTTATTTCTACAGCATGTTGGGCTGCCGATAGTCATGAACGTCCTGGTTTTTCCGATATCCTCATCGCTCTAGATGAAGTAAGAAGTGCATTTGCAGCAACACCTCATGAATCATTTCATACAATGCAAGAAGATTGGAGACTTGAAATTGAAGAAGTTCTTCATGGATTGCGCATGAAGGAAAAGGTAAATTATAAATATTTTATTTAAAATTCATGATAACAATTCTGATTAAACTACTAAAATCAACTCATTTATTAAAAAAAAAAATATATATATATACATACATATTTGTCAATGCTTCGCTAAAAGGCATGTCGGTCTCTTGAAGAGGTAAGCCAATTCAAACACTAAGGAATCGATGGTTAAGAATTAAAGAATTAATTCGTTTCATAATGCAAACATTAAATTATATTATAAAAATAATTTCTAGGAATTGCGCTGCAGAGAAGAAGAACTGACAAAAGCTCAAGTACAACAAAGACAACAAGAAGAAAATCTTCGGCAGCGAGAACAGGAGTTAGCAGCACGTGAGATTGATTTGTTAGAGCGAGAACTTACTGTGATGATAATCGAACAGCAGGGTACACCTACACCTAATAAAAGGCGAGGAAAGTTCAAGAAATCTAGATTAAAACTTAACAAGAAAGAACCAGGAAGTAATATCAGTGCTCCTTCGGGTAAATAAATCAATAAATAAAGTTTTTCTGGACGAAAAAAAGTATGAATTTCTAGACACGTACTTATTAAAAAATTGTCATAGATTTTCGACATACTATAACTGTTCAACATACGGCTTTGGATCGAGGAAAAAATCGAAATACATCAAGACCAAATAGTCCTCCAGGTTCTCCAAGTATTCCGCGTCTCCGAGCAATTGCTTGTAAGCTATTTTAACTCATTATCTTTAATTTTCACTTGATCAACATTAGATAAAAGTAATCGGACTGATTTATAGATTGATTTTAAATTCCATTTCGATAATGAAGTCACTGTTAAATCGTCTGATGTATTGATTTATTGAATATTTATAAAGTTTGCGCTTCAGTAGATTCGTTTTGATTGAGATCTGATTTCTGATAAATTTTTAATCTCCTATCACTTGATAAATTTGTAAAATTATAAAAAAAAATTTGTAGCATGGAGTGAATAATATAAACTTTTGTCGTGATCACTGCCTTACATACGTATTTTTTCCATTAAATAATGAATGTTTGCTTTGATTGAAATTAAATTATTATTTTTCTTTTTTTATATTCATTTATTTATTTTCATTTTTATTTATTACAGTTAATCCATTGCGCACGGTTCTCTTGTAAATCTCAAATGTTTGGTAAAACAATCATTTGGATAAATTTCATTTATTGAGATCGATATTATCATTAAAGAACTTAAAAAAAGAAAAGTATTAATATTTTGAATTATTGTATTGATTTCAATGATCAATTTTTTTATTTAAATGATAATGAATTAATTAGATTGAAACAGTTCTTTCACTGATTAATTATTCAGTTAAATTGAGTTGCATTAAATAATAATTTATATATTTTTCAAAATAACAAACAACTGATGCGCAATGATTGTAGTTAGAACAAGTAGTGAGTAGAATTTTTGTTTTTGTTTTTGTTCTGCCTGTCTAGTACCGGCTGATGGAGTTAAGGGTAAAACATGGGGCCCTTCAACACTACATCAACGCGAGCGTGGTGCAATTATCCAGCCACCGAATCCTGCATCACCTGGTGGTAAACGTTGGTCGCGCTCGGCTCCAGATCTTGAAAAGACTCCGCTACGTACGGCACGTCTGGCGAGCGCCCAACGGCCACCACTTCTTCAAGAAATAGGTAACCCAACATCCCGAAAGTTGTACTCCTCAGCAAATAATCTGATCGACGATCAGGAACGTAACGCGACAGACTACGAGATGTCGAGGATAACAAATAATAGCCGATCTAGTTCAAGGCTTAAAGAGGTCCATGTTAAAGACACGAGTTTTACGGATTCGTACGAGACGACGAACGACACGATAAAAGATTCAGTTCATCGTGACAAGATTAATCAAAAGACTCATTACTACAAAGCATCGTCGTCGTCGACCGTCGTCTCGGACACCCAAAGAACTCCTTCATCTGGTGGAAAACCTAGTGGCAAAGCAAATGAATTTGTTGATTATTCATTAACCTCGACCAATTTTGTACAAAATGTCGCGTCTACACTTGTAGGAACAGCTAAACGTGTGAGAAATAAGAAACGTGATCGTAGTAAATCTAAGGAATTCAAACGTCGTGATAGTTCTGAATCAAGACTTACGTCTTTAGCTGACTTCTTTAGATCACCTTCAAGTTCTCGCAAAAGTTCTCTGGCCGATAAAAAGAACTCTCAAGTAGGTGTGAAGATCAGCACTGGTGATGGCGTTGAATCTAGTCCTGAGAATTCGATAATTAAACCAGTACGCCATAAATCTCGTAGCTCCAAATCTCCTTTACGTGTTTTTAATAAAATACGTGCTTGGGGAAGTCGTGATACCCTAGATTCTAAATCACCTGTTAAAGTTGAATATAATGCATCAGAAAATACTATTTCAATTCCTAAGCTAGAACCAGAACCTAATTTTAGTTCTGAAATCCCAAGATTTTTAACTGCCAACTCTCGGGAAGGAATTGATTTTGAAAGTCTTGAAGCTGATCTTTGTAATCTTGATTCAGAACATTCAAATGACAGTTCTAAGTCAAAAAATTCATTGAGATTTCTTGAGGAGCTTGAACCAAATGGACCTAGATCTTCTTTAGATAGTACCAGAAGTAAATCTAGCATAGCTTCTAAACACAGTGAACGTTTTTCTGATCATGAATATGACATCAATGATTCTATTAACGAAAAATCTAAAAGCAGTGAATATTTGAGAGATTTCGATCCCCGAAAGCGATCAAATTTTAATGATAATTTTAACGCACGGCTTAGTGAATCTCTTCAGAAAGTTTCTCGTTCGCGAAAAGAATCTGAAAGTAATTGAATCATTCATTTTACTAGATTAACGTCGTTGTTAATTATTATTAAAGGATAACTCATCGACTACAAAGTGATTAAATTCTTTTGTTTCATAACTTCCAATTTTTGTTCAATTTTTTTCATTATTCAACTTATTTATCTAAATGAGTTAACAAATTGTCTTATCGCAGGCCTTTCTGAGGAAAACATCCACTCTACTCGTAAGTTTTCTATTTCTATATCACAATTTTAGTATAAAAAATTTCCATTTTTCATCGTAGTTTTTGTTTAATAGAGAAGTTAAATTAAAATATATTCTCTGTGTTATGGATTAAAATTCTTTTGTTAAATACACAGATGTTTCTTGTTTCTTTCGTGAAACATATTTTAATATACGACGATAGCATTTAATGCATGAATTTTATTATTATTATTACAGTTATCATAGTTATTATTATAGTTATTACTACTTTTTTTTCTTTTAATCGCCATTATCATTTTATTTTATTCTATCAAGCTATCATAAGACTTTCACTTACATATTTAGTCAAAATAGAATATCCATTGGACATTTATTTATACATATGTGCCACTCATATTAATTTTTTATAACTCAATTATTCACGTATTCATTGTTGATTATTTAGAGACAAAATACATTTACGCAAAAAAAAAATTTGGTGAGGGACCAGTTTTAAAAAATTAAGTTTATTTTAAGAAAAATGCCAATTTCGTTGTTAATTCAACAAATAAAAAATGACATGAAACGAATTTTAATTGTTATAATAATTACTAGAAAATAAAAGAAATTTGGAATTATGTTAGGATGATTAAATACTTGTTCAGTAAATAGACAAATATTTAACAAATTCAGTTATGAATGATGAAAAATCCGTTGTTATATTTTCAATTTTTCAAATACACGTGTTAGTAATTGTTGGCAAGTAATTGAATTAAAAACAATTAGATAATGTTCATCAGAACCCGAAATTTACAATTTAAATATCTATTTGGTGTTGGTTCTCTTTTGTTTTTTTACTCAGAGTTCATAATAACAGTCTAACAAAAAAGCAAAAAAATAAAAAAATAAAAAAAAACTAACTGACCGCTAAACTTGCGAATTGTGAGCTTTTTAAAAAATCCCCATTAAGGAAAATAGTTAATTATCTGTCCATTTTTTAATCTGTTCGTATATTTTAGATTATTAATAAAATTTTCAATTTTCAGTTAAATTTGATAAAAATCTTCAAAGGGAAATTTTAAATCAAACATAATTGTACGAAATATTAACATAAATTGAAATTAAATTAATTCATTTTCCTATAAATTATTTTATTCAAAATAGACAAAAAAAAACAAAGAGATAAAACATAAGCACACATTGAAAATATTCTTTTAGTAGACAAAAAATACACGCACACTTGTATTTTAGAAATAGAAATTTTTTCAATAAAAGCTTTTCAGTTGGACACGTTGAATTTTGTTTTAGTTTTTTTCTTTCTGATTTTACGCTCGGCACAGAGCTTAATTTTTTTATTACATTCTTTATTTAAATATTCACTAGTTTTTAGAAATTTAGAGTCGCAAATTTGATTAACTATTATTTCAGAAAAATTTATTCATAATAATAATAATAAACCAATAATATAAAAATAATTTAATTCACTAAATAATCGCTTTTTTTACTGAAAGCCGAGCGTAAAAAATCCTTTGCATGAAATCCAAAGGTGATCCTAACTGCTAACTTGGAATGGTTGCTAATTTCCTATTAAATTTCAGAATAAATTCCTGATTGAAAATATATACCAAAGTAGAATCCATTTACTTAATAGTTGAAACAATCTAATTTATAATAATATAGAGAGATGGTGTGCCATGGAAGAAGAACATACGCTGTAAAAAGTATAAACTATCTTTTATTTATTTCCATTGATTTATTTTTAAATAAATTATTAGGTAACCAACTAATGTGATAGCTTAGAGTAATTTTTTATGCATGAAATAATCGATATATATTTTTTTCTATTTCTATTTAATTAAAAACTTTATGAGTTATGCATGTTGATGACTTTTTCGCAATGCTTTGCATTTAACGGTATGCATAAATCAATAAATATATTAATCAAAAAATTCATAAATAAATCAAATTATAAACTGTTATTTTTTATAAAAAGATGCAAGAAAGGTAAGAGAATTACTGCGGAAGAAAATAACAAAAGCATACGCTTGGACCACAATCAAATAACAGAGAACTTTGCATTGTTTTTTATTTTATAAAATTATTTTAAAACTGAAAACAAATGAAAGAGAACTAAAGTAAATCATTTTTTAGATTATCCAACACTTCCTGTGGATGTGCCATCAGACTGGATAACAGAATATTCGATAAAACCAGGATTAACTGGTCCTTATATTATGCCAATGCCTGTACCAATGCCAACACTTTACAATGGAGAAGCCAAAAAACCAAAGCCGGGAATTATTGAATTAGCACTGTATAATATTGCGGCAATGCTGGCTGGTGTTGCAATTGGATATGACGTGAGAATGTCCAACGTATCACCAATTCATCCACGACTCTATCCAAGAGGTATCGATGGAGAAGAAGAACCCCCAAGATGGTGGTTTCAGACGGATACAGGTTCCAATCGTAATTCTGGATATCTCGGCACTGATTACGAGTTTAGTTCTCCCAGTGGATATCCTCACAATACCTACCACGGTCCAGCAAGACATTATAGGTAAATTTTATAGCTCAACAAAAATTTAGTTTTAATTATAATTATTAGTGAATTAATTTTTTTTTTTTTGTAGGCCATTTTTGAGTAGCATGGGAGGCATAGCCCCAGGTCTTCCATTAAATGTAATAGACAAACCTCTTAGATTTACTGATTCCCCTCAACATTATACCGCAAATCCTGGTTCTAATGTACCTACACCGAGTCCACGACGGAAAAGTTCAAGTACAAGTAATGAAGATGCTTATTCACCTGAGACCTCACGATTAGAGCGAATAGAAAGAGTTCCTACAATCTACATGGGTAACGTACCTCCTTACGATTACGGGCCACCTCTTTACACCATGATGCCTCCAGAATATTATAGACCTCATGAATCTGGATATGTTTTAACACAAGACTATCAGTAAGTATTTTGTTTTCAAATAATTTCACAATAAAATAATAAAATTGTTTTATAACAGCGATCGGATGCTAGAATGTCCAGACTTTCTTCATGCGTATGACAATCCCAGTAATGTAAACAGTTTAGTAAGACCTTCACAAAGGCTTCCATCTTACACTCATCATCGTACATCTTCGAATGTATCGAATACAAGTACCTCAAGTCAAAGTAATGTGAACCCTTCATTTCGACTCGACGACGACAGTGATTATGCTGTTTATTCACCGACTCATTATTATCAAAGATCTCCGAATCTCATCAGCAATATTGGAACCTATGGCTCAACCATCAATCATGATTATAGTTCTCCTCAGTACCTGACTCGTCAAAATTCGCATGATTCTAATCCAAACTCTAACGATCGACCAAGTAATCTTGAAGTTGTTACGCGACTACGATCGAGCTTAAAGCGATCTAATTACTCTTATAATTCTCCAAAAAGTACAAGTAAAAATAATTCAGGATCAGGTACACCGACAAATCCAACTCCACCGGATTCTCTAACATCAGAAGATTCTAGTTATGTATCGGCTAAAGATAGTCAGATATCTATCAGCAGAGTACGCTTTTCACCAGTGACTTTTGATCGTGAAAGTTTGTCTCGAGAACATCGAGACACTCTTCTTGACGTTCATCCTCAAGCCCAAGAAACAATAACGTCACCATTGCAATCGACGCGACGATTAAATAGGAACAGGAAATCGAGTGTATCTGAGCTTGATAGGGAGTTTTTATCATAGCACTGGCTTATTTAAAAAATAAAATGATTATGACACATGTGTGATTGAAAGCAGTGAAAAAGAAAAGTGAACAAAGAATTAACTTATGAAAGCTGTAAGTGAAGATAAGAATGGGAAATACAAAAAAAGTGAAAAATTGACTTTAGAAAGGGTATTAAATTCTTAATCACTGCCTCATGCTTTAGTGTCATTAGCAATGCCTGTTAAAGGAAGTATAGTAGGAGAAAATAAGTTTGAAAATCTAAATGATAAGAAATTTACATTCCACATACTTGAAAGAGGTAGGGTTGTGCAAATATATCAAGTTGTTTCTAATAATTGATTGGATTTAGAGTTATCGAATTTTTTTTAACTGCTGGTAGTCATATATCTTTTTATTGTACACTTTGTTGAACGATTCTATCAGAAAAATCTACGTAAAGCAACCTTGAAATTCGTGTAAAATATCATTTCTTTTTATTCTAATATTTCATACGGTATGAAATATGTCAACCGTACATCTCACTTTTTAATAATGAAAAAAAAATCATTGATCAATTCTACTTTATCACGATTTTTATATTTTTTATTATGAAGTCAGACAATATCATTAGTTATTTCAAATTAATTATAGACTTTCAGGCTTACGTAATTAACATAAAACATTCCATGTGTCTTAACATTCTCTAAGATGCATTTTATTTCGCGAATATCAATTTTGTATTAATCTTTGTATAATTATAAGTAAGAGAAAAAATTATAACATTCCCGTAAGTTTCTGGATAAGAATTTTTATTATCAATTGTTAATGATATTATCAGTATGATGAACCTTGAATATTTCTTGTAATCAAAAATAAATATTGTATATTCTCTGCAATGTAAAGTTTAAGTAAGAAAAATATAGATTTGTCAGAATCACTTGTCAGTATTTAAAACAAAAATACATGGAGTGTAAATAATACATATTCAATGAAGAATAACATTACTATAGTCTTGAAGGGGGGTTTTTGCATTTGATATTGAAAAATGAGTTTATAAAAATAATTAAATGCTATAGAAACAATTAGCACAACTGTAAAGTTTATTACTGAGCTTTATACGTTTTTTTTTCTTTTCATTGATGAAAGTAGTATACAAAAGACCATAGGAATTTTTTTGACGATAATTGCCCTTCTGTGCTGTACAAAGATTTTTTGCGGTGCTAGTATCATGTACTTAAATTTAATAAATAATGTAAATGGGGAAAAGTAGGAGAAATCATTTAAAAGTATAAAAAATTCTTCCACAATTAAACTAACTGTTTGAGTCAAATGGAAGATAGAAGATAAAATGAAGAAAGATTTAATAAAAAAATCTTATTATTCTAATCATTAATCGGTATAGTGCTAACAATTTTAATGAAATCATACTTATAATAATTCAATATACAGCAGTTAACAATGTAAGATTGTTGTGTACTGGTGTATCTACACCAAAAGTGCTAGTCTAAGTTACATATATTTATTATTTTTTTTACATTATAAAAATCTATTCAAATAAGAGTTTGAATAGTTTATTTAAAATATGTAATCATATAATTTTCATTTTTAATACTCAAAGAGACTTATTAAATTTTATTTGTATAAATACTAATAAATTAAATGAAAGTGTGAATGTGCCGATAATAGTAACGTGAAAAATGTTGAAAAAGCCTCATCATAAAGCGTCACTCTATTATTTTTTTTTATTCTTATTCATGCGAAAATTATGTTGTCAACTTTCTTTCTCATAGATTTACGATAAAAAAAAAGAAAAACTGTGTATATCATTTTGATAAAGCGTGTAAATTAATTCTTTAATTTAGGCTCTTTGGGTTTAGTCAACAATTTTGAAAATAGATTAATTCGTACATAATATTAACTTGACCAAGAAAACTATAATTATTGAAAAGTGTAATCATAAATATTATATTTCAGTAAGAAAAGAAAACATGTCGATAAAAAAGAAGAATTAATAGAGATGCGTCGTGTTCGCAGATGAAGTAATATTTAACTATAATACTAAAGCTCGAAGAATGTGTGATCGTTGAAATATTTTTTTTGTAATGCATGAGAGAGAAAATATTATAATAGATTTAAATGAAATTAAAAGAAGTAATTAAAATAAAGAAATGGAATTCATATAAATCTTGTGGCAATTCTTATATTCGTATTTGACAAAATCATTGCGATAAAGATTAAATTATAATAAATTTATAACTGCCTAGATTATAAGGATTTAATTGTTAAGCCGCTAAGTGCAATGTGTTCCACATACGAAAAACAAAAATTACATTATAAAAATCGTATATAATGACTGCTTTGGTACGCGCCTTAAAGATTATATGTATAAATAAATTTATAAAAACTAATCAATACTTTAAGGCAATGAAAGAAAAAAAGAATAATCACGATCACTCACAACAATAAGTACTGATTACAATTTTCATTTCCTCAAACGAGCAATAGAATGTGACACGACGGATTTTTTACAAGTTATTTTTTTTATAATTTTTAGTATAAAAACTGAAAAAGGCAGCATGATAAAAAATCTGATTTTCTTCTTATCAAAAAAACATAAAATATTTAATTAAATGATCGTTTTATTATGCTGTCTAGACTTGCACTAGAAATTCATGTATTTTTTCAAGTATTGTACATTATAATATAAATATTACTTATAAAAATTATAAATAATATTTAATTTAAGTATAAGTATTAATTAATATTATTAATTATTACTTATTAATGTAACATTACCGTGACAAGGTGTAAGTGATGAATTAATAATTAATAAACCATTTCGAATAATTTCGTAGTTATTTTTCATAAATTTTATTTTTTTTATACTTATTCCAATATTTTAATTAAAAGTTATTTTATATTCACGCGGGCTTTACAAATACTTGTTACCTACTATAGATAATCAATTTTCACCAAAAGTATATATTGGGTTTTTCTACGAATTTACTCAATTGTTTACGGAAATATCCGAAGATACCCGACAGTGATTTTTCTGAAACCATACTATACCTAATTGCGTATACGCCGTGTGTTTATATTTATGTCTTGAATCCTTATAATTTTTATAATTATTGCATTTAAAATTGCAAAAATGGTTTATTTGCACTTTCCCTCGAATCTCACTGAAGAAGAATTGATGCTCCAAACAAAGTACAACAAGTTAAAACGAAAGGCAAGTATTGAAAATAATTATTCCCTTAATGGTTATGTTTTATAAATTCTAAATGTAAACATGAATTTTATAGAATTTGTATTGATTTACATATGAGTATTTATTCATTTTTTTAATTTAGAAAAAAGCTCTGCAAGATCTTAAAACACCAAAACCTGAACCAGAGCGAATGCCTCAAGCTCCCAAACGTCCTACAGAGGCTAGAGATGCTCGAGAAGTTGCTAAGAAACTAATTAAATCTGGAGTAATTACAGCTCCAAAAACACCTAAAAGGCCTGAACAATCATTTAAAAGACCACGAGGATTAGAGAGGAAATTAAATACAACAGAAAAAACTGTATGTTCTTACCAGCCATTTTCAGCGACACAACCAGAAGAAGAAGAAAGCGATACAACTGCAAGACCTAGAGTAAAAGATCTTTATGATTCTTTTGTCAGCGCGCAGTCCAAAGATGATAGAGGAACAGTTTCTGATAAACAAACTACGTTAAAAACTGAATCTAGACCGAGAGCAGGAAACACGATATTCGTATCGGGTTATAAAATATCTGAAGATTTTTTGAAAAAGCATTTTCAGTCGTTTGGAAATATTTTAAATATTTCTATGGAAGCTGAAAAAAAGTAAGTAAATCAATAATATACTTTGTAGAGGAAAAATAATTTTCTTCTATTTTTAGCCGTGGTTTTGTCACCTTTGATAAACCAGAAGCAGCTGAAAGAGCAATAAGTGAGATGGATGGAAGTATGGTGTCCTCAATTCAACTCAAAGTTTCTCTCGCTCGACGACAACCGATAATTGATCCAATAAACGATACTACTTCAAGCTCAATGTGGTCGTCAATAGCAGCAAATTATTCTCAAAAGAGTGCACATAAAGATGGACGAGACATGAAAATTTATGAAGAGGATCTCTTCCAATAGTTTTTAAAGTTAAGAGTACACAATTTACACTTTATTAAAACGTAAGTAACAACAGTTATTTGCAATTACATCATATTTACTTAATAGGCGTAGAAATATATTTCATGTGATTTCATTATTATTATGGTACAAACTGGTATATATCGAAGGTATTAAAAAAGAATTAATTCATATTTTCTTCATTACAACAAAACATCCAAGTCTTTAGCTATAAATATGAAGCTATTTAAAAATTATAAAATACGATTGCATAAAAAGGCTTGTAGCAAAAAATTTCAAATGCAATCGTGTGAATTCTTGTGTTAATATTATCAAAATTATAACTCATAATCGTGGAGGATTAAAGTAATCCCAGTGATGATGATGAGTAATTGTTTTTGGTGCTCCAAAACAGACAATAATGAGCCCGGCAATAATCAATAAAAGAGCACAAATTGCAAGCTCAATCTCTTTGATTTTTGCTTCAGACTCTTCCTGACTGACTCTCGAGACCACATAATTAACAAAATGTCTCATCGCTCGTTTCCCAGCCAATCTTAAAGCTCGAATGAGTTGTTGTGTCATATCGATTATACTTGGCTCATCAGTTATTTGATGCGAATTTCGTTGCAATGATGACAAAGTGAAGAATTGAGATGGAATTTGAGATGCTGAAAATGCGATAAATTGTTGATTCTGAAGAGGAGGTGAAATTGGTCGTGACAATGGTGTAGATGGACGGGATGAAGGCGACGGCGGTCTCTCTGATGATTCTATATCTGATGAATAAGTAATGATAGCACGTTGAGGCTTTATTTCAGTCGTTTCTGAAAACGTATGCATTGCATCCGGCGTATCAGGTGTGACAGAAATTACAGGAGGTAGAGATCTCACTGGCGAAGCTGTTTGCCGTAATCCAGACCGTATTGGAGATCCTGAACGTGACGAGGGTTTAGTATCCGTTTTGTCTTCTCTTTTTATTTCAGAAGATTTTTCTTTTATATTTTCTTTCGATCGTTCAATAACTGGTTCACTTGATAGAATTTTCTGTTGCTCTTGAGATGAAAAACTTTGAGTAGAGAATAATTCTCGACTTTCAGAGGCTTTAGAGGCTGGTTCCAGTTGTAAACGAGTAGACTGGGATGTTTCTTCGGTTGAAACTTTAGAAGATCGTTTTATTTCAGATTTTCCTTCTATTAGAGTTGATTCTGTTGTCGAATCATCAATAATTTTGATGGGTGATTCTGAATATGTATGTGAATCCTGTGCTTGAGATACAAGTTCTAATTGAGTTCTGATTGCTATAAGTTCTTCAAGTAATGATGGAGGAATAATAGGCACGCTTTCTTCTTCTTTTGTACCTGAAAATTCAGTCGCAGATACAACAATTGCATCGATTTCTGATGCAGATATTTTATGAGCTTCAAGATTAGAAACACTCAACTTATCAACTTTAAGATCACCAACCTCAAGACTTGCTATTTTAAGTGTTTCATTCGTTAAAAATGTTGATAATCTTTCTTCAAATTCTTCAATTCCTACAATTCGAGATAATGGCCTCTCTGGCTGTTCTTCTACTTCACGCGATACAGAAGGACTTTTACGTCTTGGTCTTTGAACTTCATCAACATAAATAGCCTGTGTTGGTAATGGTGGTACTTCAGGTATTCTCGTTTCTCGTTCAACAGAAATTCGTGAACCTCGAATGTCAGGTTCAGATCTAGCTGATGTTCGTAAATAAAAGTCTTGAGTTGGACTTGGAATCCTTTCATGGGATATGGCTTGTGGGCTTGAAGACTTAAAATAATGTGGAGTAGGAATTCTCTCTGTAGAAACCATAATTTGAGAACCGGATCTTGAAGGTGTTACCACTAGCTTTGCTTGAGTAATTTCTTCTTCTATTATTAAATCATCGGGTAGAGGATCAGTTTGAGTAGATGCATAAACTTCCATACCTGCAGAAAACTCTTGAGCATTGTCGGTATCTAAATCAGATTTTATGTTGTTAGGTTGGATGGATTTTCGATCTTTACGAGATCTCGGTGGACGGGGTGGAGCTGGCAAAGGTCTTCCTACCATTTTACTCAAAACTTCACCACTTACTAAATTCTTATGATCTTCTTCTTCTTCTTCTTCTTCAGATTCTATTTCAACGTAAGAAGTTACTTCATTATCCTGAGGAATTCTAAATCCATTTTCTACGGGTAAAGATCTTGGCCTCAATGTACTGTAATTTCTTGTTGGTCTTCTTGGGGGACTAGGCCTGGGCGTTGTAGCAAATTTATGATTTTTTCTTTTTCGAGGGGGTGGTGGTCTTGGTGGTTTCTCTCGTTTCTCTATTACTGCATAACCCGAAAAATCTAATTTAGAATTATAGTCTGGAATTTCCTCATCTTCAACATATCCCATATCGGGTATTGACTCAGCTCCTCGAGACGTTCTGTCATCATCTTGAATTATTGATGTCGTTCTAGATCTTGAGAGTCTCTTGGGAGGTATAGGAGCAGATTCAATATAGTCATCATCTACTTTCGGTTTCATTGGGGGTTCAGACTTTGGTCGTGGCATTTCTTTACGTTCCTCTGGAGAATAATGACCATTACACGATTCGACTCCATTCATTCGAATATTTCTATCTTGAAATTTCATTGTTTGGTCTCGTCGTTTTCTTCTCATTGGTACTACTGGTGGTGGTAGTGATTGTATAGGTTCAGGTGATGATTCTTTAATAATTTCTGAGGGTACTAAAGACGAACTTCTCAATGAAGTCTTCGATTTTCTCCGAAGTGGTTTTACAATAACAATGTCATCCAAGGGTTCTTGACGATCTAAGTCTAGAGCAGTTGATTCTGCATGATAAACAATTTTGTGTCTTGACTCGGAAATACTGTCATCATTGTCTTGTAAATTTGGATCATAATCAGACTCTTCACTCCGACGAAAAAGACGTTTTGGTCGAATTGGTGGAGCAGTATCAAAAGATTCTAAAGATTCTTTTCGTTTTCTGAATGATCTAGTTCTTGGTGGTCGTTGAGGAGGCTTTGGTGTAACCATAATTACTTCATGTGCTAAAGCATTGATAGGAGTTCTTAATGCGTCTCGTATTTCACTTGTTAAATACTTTCCAACATGCATATCATCTTGACTAATACCTTTTTGTCTTAAAAAAAATTCATCAGAATCAATTTCCTCGATAACACCACGTCTTCTACGATCACATGAGCTTCCACTTGAGGCTTGTTGCTCTCGATCAGAACGAGCTGACGTATCCTCTTCAAGCTCGCTAGACATGTGCTCTTCATCTTCTATTGGTTCTTCTCCCTCCTCGTCTTCTTCCATATCTTCTTCTTTATTTTCTTCCTTGTCTCGAGTTGTCATATGTTTTTTATAGTCTCGAGAGTCTATCGGTTCAAAAGCAACTCTATACATTTCTCGATCTTTTTCGGAGTCTTCAATTTCTATATCCTGGTCTCCATACAATCTTGGATCAATTTGAGGAAGTTCATAAGAATCTTCTGAATCACCATGAAAAATTTTAGGTTGTCGAGATAAAATATCACGTTGCGTAATTTCATCATTTTTCACATCTTCATCGTAAGGAAGCTCTTCAACTTGAAGGCTTCTTCGACGTTCATCAGATTCTTCCCAAGGTAAAGCCTCTGATTCTTCAAGAGATTCTTGGCCTCGTAAAGAAAGTCGAGGCTTTTCAAAGCCTGGATGTTTCCAGGGCTTTTCTGTTTCAATAGCAGCTGGTCCTTCATCATCATCAGCAAATTTAATATCCGTAAATCGCTGAGTCCATCGACTTCCAAAAGTGGCTCTTGGTTTTTTCGTTCTAGGTAATGTAGCACTTTCTGCAGATGATTGAGCTCGAGAGTCTTTTGGTGAAGATGTTGCATAATCACTGTGGCCTTTAGATTTTTTATCAAAAAGTCGTGGAACTGTTGAAAAATCAAATATATTTTTTCTAGAACCAGCTGTTGATTCATTGGAATATTGACGTTGTTGCTCACTTAGAGACGGTGTTTTCCGTCTACCTGGAAGATTTGGAAATCGAAAACTAGCTCTTGTAGGCATCTTTGGTAAATTTATTTTAGCACGTTCTGGAAGATGAAATTTTGATTTTTGCGGGAAATTGAATTTTGGTCTATCAGGTAAATTAAATTTCGGTCTATCAGGAAATGAAAATTTAGGCCGCTCAGGTAATGAAGCACGAATTCTTTCCATCCTACTTCGTTTGTCAGTAGTTTTTTTTAGTTTCTCTGATGTTCGTGATTTTTCTGATGATTTATCTGATGATCGAGATTTGGATTTTTCGGGTGATTTGTCTTTGGGAGATCTATGTCGATCGATTGGAAAATTAAAGTTGGGTCGTTGGATATTTTTTAAACGAGAACGTAGTTTGCCAGCTTGAGAGCGAATTTTTTGCGGTAAACCCCGTGCTCCGCGACGGAGCGGTAGCTCCTCCATTGCTGATGAGTCCACCTGAAAAACAATACTTTAATTAGTAAAATATAAAATAATAAAAGCATTAAAACATTATGTAGTTCATATCATTGATATAAAATACATGAGTAAATGTTATTAGTGATTTTCGGATTTTTTGATCTAAATTATATGATAATATTTTTGGAGCTGACATTGTTTTATATTTATATAATAATAATATATATTTTCTAATATTATCCCTACCATGGCATCGTCATTTAGTTAGGAGAGTTAAAAGATTAAATTAACAAGTGTAATTGTTTAATACTCATAATATAGTGTCAAGGTAATAATATCCGTATGTTTAATGTTCAAATCTTTGAGTTGGTCTTCAAGTGCAACTAATTATTACTATGGCACGTGCACTCAAGGAATGCGTACAAGAGTACATTCTAAATCACTGGCGTCAAGTTAATTCTAGTGACTTAACGTTCCGCAATAGTTTTTCGTGCTTGAGATCATCGACTAAATAGACTAATGGATGTTAATTGGCAAGAACACTAAATAGCACATAACTAAATAAATATAAATAAGATATAAATAATAAGTATGATTGTTTATGTTCTAAGAGTAGGATGAATTTTTACAGGAGAAAATGAACATTTACCTGACTTGTATTAACTTCGCCATCAGTTCTGGATTCAGTGCAGGGGGTGGCCGCAGTTAGAAATCGCTCTTCAAGTCTGTCCTGGAATTGTTGCGCTGTTTCAACCTCTTCAGAGAGATCACCACTGCCCAACTCTCTGCCTTCCATCGCACTGTCCTCGATTCGACCATCGAGGGGCAAGATAACATCGTCACCATCGAGACGTGGTCCTAGTGTGAATTTGCTTCGTATGTCGATGCTATCATCGCTATCAGCGACGGGTGCTACGTCTGTGTCAATGATCCTGACGACTGGCGCTGAGCCTGTAGTCTTTGGCGATCTTCCTGCACCCACTGGCTCGTACTCGTGCTCACTGTGTATAGAATACATTTTCTAATTGATGTAAATACACTTTGTTTTTATTATAGAGAAGTTTAAAAACGTTTCTAGAATGTTTTAAAAATTATTTTTTACTAGTACACGAATTTTTTTAATCATGGAAAATGTGATCAATTTATAGTGTAATTTAAAATAAAACTTTAAAGATTTCTCAAGGTCTGTATCGTGTACATGGGTTTTTGTAACGCGGAACTGCCAATAGTTTTGGGTTCGTTGAGTCGCGGATCGTTGATTAATCCGAAGAAACAGAAAAGGGGACACTCGGCATGGTAGTCAGCCGCGACTGGACGCGGAAACAGGGGAGAGAGCTGACCGTTACTGTTCTAACTATAGCAACCCGGGCGAACCTTAAATAGCTACGGGTATTAGTTGATGCTGGGACGATGTAACTCAAACTACCCACATAGATACACACACTAATGGTAAGATGATTATTACGAAATCTTCTACGTCATTTCTTTACTCATGATCTTTAAATATATACGAATGACAAGCTCCAGAAGTAAATTATAATCCAAAATATCATCTTGACCTACCCAAAATTTACGAATTATTAATACTGAGAGTGATCAATCTCCTTGGATCTTTTAGCACACTCACCAAATGCCAGATGTAACAGTAGGTTTTTGCTCATTCCTCGATGAAGGCCGGGATAACATCATAGCACGCCTCTCAGGTAATAGAGAGTCACTTTGAAAGTATTGACAAGCACACCGAACTTCTCTACCAAGGCTGGAAGTTGATGAAGCACGGGACGTACGACCTCGCTCGTGGTCCATCGTCCCCACTAAACGGCCACCCCCGTAAGAAATTTCTTCTTTTTTTTTCTTCTTCTTTCTTTTTTCGTCTTTTAAACTGATTAACCCTATTTCCAGACAACTGTTTACCATCCGAAAAATGCCCTCCACCTCCGAAGACTCGGAGAGGAGAGCTCAAGAAGCTACCACCCAGCTCGAAGACTCAACTCCTTGGACCTTATACCACACTCTTCACCGCTTCTACTACCCTGCTCCCACCCTCCTTATTTTTTGGCTTCTATTACCTACTCTTTGGCACTTTGATTCACACCAGCATCCGTGTGTGATTATTTATAGGTAAGTAATCTTGCTCAGGTTCACTTTGCTATACGAATTCAATGCAATGATGCTTTGTTAGTGGAGGTGAGTGCGCTGGCGCATCTCGACGTTCCTGTCTGCATGCAGCATCTTTCTCTTCCTAATTCCTTTTTTTACTCATTCTACCTTTCTCTAACTCGTGCATCGACCGACGCAATTCAACAGCAATTCTTGCGCTAATGCCAGCAGAGCCAACTTTTGATTCGACAGATTCCTGAACTAAGGTCGACGTACCAAGCCATCTCATGATAGTCGCTTATTTCTTAGGCTATTCGCTTAATGTAAAAAGTAAATTAAATCAAGAGATAAAACAGGGTAGAAAGGGGCAACTAAAGAGTGAGAGAATGTTTGAAAGCAGAGTTTTTTTTAAAGGATACCAAAAAGGTAGTTGGATATTAAGGTAATTTCTTCTAGGACTGTTAGCATCGATCGACTGTTTCATTGTATTATTTTCAATTTGAAGTTTTTAATAAATTAGTTTTTCAATAAATACCAAGCGATACTCTTCGAAAAATAGTCATCGTTTTATCCTATTATTCTATCAACGTGTATTCAAGTATAAAAACTTTTTCTTTGAGAGTATCTGAAGAACATGTGGAAGGAAATAAGACAATAAAAGTTGTAACAAGTATAGTAAGAGTGAAAAAAGAAAGATTTAGAGTTTTTTCATACAGATAAACAAGTGCGAGACGCGGTTTAATGAGGTCTCAATGTAACGGTTTTATTGTAATTGTAATTGTCGTAATCGTAGTCGTAATTGTGATAAGTGAACAACGGAGATGTTGTATCGCATTCACGATCCAGCCGAGATGGATGCCAGGGTCAGGCGAGCTCGTTGTCCAAAAAGTGATCACGTGCGTCTATGCACGCTGCAAGATCGAGCACGATGTGGTGTAGGGTTGGATGCTGAAGAACTTCTGCCTCTGGTAAAGGTGGATGGCAGCATGGTCGTTGATGCCGACCACGAAATGAACGATGCAGATGTAGCACTACGTCGCAGAACACATAGCGTACGACGAGTAACCGCAAAAAGTCGTCGCCAAAAAATTGAAGAATGCTGCTTTCTGAAAATAATTAATTTAAATTGAATAATTAGAATTTCTATTATTAAGAAAAGATAAAAAAGAAATTAGTTAGTGATAATTTTAGATCGAGAATGTAGTCTAATAATAATAATGAATTTCTTCATTCATTTTGAATTATTTTTCATTTTTTTTATCAATGGTATTAGTAAAATTTTATTTCTTTAAAATGGAGTCTATTCTATTTTTTGTTTTTCATTTTAATTTGAATTTTAGAAAAGCTGAAGAATGAAACCTTTAAGATCTATAGATTACTATTTTCAATAGACTCAACACTTTTATAGAAATATTTATTATTTTTTTTTTTCATGTTAAAAATATAATCTTCATCATTAGCTATTATTAACGAAACTATTTAATAGTATTTCATCAATTCTTAGAATGATATAATTAAGAAGTTGAACTTTATTTATATTACTCTATCAATAGAAGAATTACCTTGAACTGAAAAAATTTCCAAGTTTCATTGTTTTTAGACAATAATAATTGCTCTATGTACAAAAACTAATTGTGCTTAATTTGAAAAGTTGGGAATAAATTTTTACAGGCCAATAAAAAGTTATCTGCAGAAATAGGTCGACTGAGTGTGTGTTGAAAGAAAGGAGTGAGGAAAAAAATATAGGTAACATAAGAAAGATAGAAGTGAAATGTTGCTCACCACATCTGGAACGAATGACAAGACGGCTTGCCTCGATGAGGAATCGTTCCACGTAGCTTTGGCAGCGTTCCCAATGATGCACGGCAAGGCTACCGATGTTGCATATAAGGCAAAAGGCGGCAAGTGGGGAGTGGAGAAAGAGAGTAAAGAGGCTTCCGCCATGACGCAGGTCCCTGAGGTTTGGCGGTGTCTCCTGAGGTGACATGAGCACCATAAGAGGTTGACCGAAGTATCTCGGTATTTGCTGGAACACGTAGCTATTGTCCGAATCGACGACCACGAAGAGAGGCTTCCTGGTGAAAGGGTAAAGATCGCCTGGATAGAGACAGTGGGGTTCTTTACCACCGCTAGGCCTCTTTCCGTGCTCTGGATCGCGTTTGCTGCTCGTTGACACACCTCCCAAGTCGTAACCCACTTTTTTTGAAATGAAAAGAATAAAGAAACATCCGATGGGAACTTGTGATTCTTTATACTTTTTATTGCTATAGATAGTCTTATTTACTTATGTTAATTACTTATCCTTAAATAACTTGATCGATAATTTATACTTACTCTCTTCTGGATGTTTGACAGTTGAAAAACATCCATCAGCTGATAGATAGAGAAGTAGCGCGCCATTGGCAGGTAGTTCTTTGAATCCACTTGCCAGGAATACCTGAACCTGGCTGTAGGTCGGCTTGTAAAGCAGGTACTTGTGTGGATTATCGCGTCGAGGCATACCATTTTCAGGTGGATAAGGTCCAGGTCTAAATGGTAATCTTCCAGCAGGCGATGCATCGTGTATGTGCGTAGGATCATCGCGTGGCTCTCGCTCAAGGGTTTGTATCATCCTAAACATATCGACCGATAGTTCACTGAATTTAACCTGATCAGCACAATTTCCGACAATGAGAATCTCCTGAAGAGTGAGGCACATGGGTGACGATCGCTCGATCGGCGGTGATGTGAGTGGACCAAGGCGATGAGTTAAGATAACTGGATTTGAGTCGGCATAAAGTACACCAACAGCAGATTCAGCTTTTACAAAACTTTTAATCTCGTCGAGAACTAGGTTCCATTCGACCTGATCCTCAGGTTCATACGTGCTAGCGTAATCAGCTATCTGAGCATCTAATTCTTGAACCAACTCACGCACGAGCTTCATTTTATTTAAAAGTAAACAGACAACGATAAAACGAGCATAATAACGTAGTTTTTTCACCATCAAATCGCTACGATCCTCCTTGGCAGCACGACTGTAATACGCACGGCCTCTTATAGCAGCATAAAAAGAGTATGCTTCATGAAGATAAGATGTTTCACTAGTCCGAAGATAATAGTGATAATATAGTTGACCAATTTTACTTGCTATTTCACCAATTTGCCATCTTTTTAAACCATATTTTGTATCCAGTATTGCCCTGTTAAAAATACATATTGTCATTAATTTACCAGTAATAATATTTGCTTAAGACAATAATATAATTATAAAAGTGAATACCCGGAAAGAGAAAATAGAGGAGGATTATTAACACGTGTGGAATTTGGAGGGAAAGGAATATGACCATTTACATTTTTTTTTCTTCTTATGACTTGGCTTACTTATTGATCCAAAGGTAGATAGGTATTTAGATGGAACTTAAAAAAAGTTTCAATGTATATTTCCTCTTTTTATTAATTTTTTTTTTGTACTGTACTATCATGAAGAAGTTTTTAAAATTTGTCTGTTTGATGAATTAGCGGTAGTTAATGGTTTTCATTATTTCCGTTATGGTGAAATAAAAAGTTAGCAAGTTATGTTTATTGGTGAACATCCAAATCAGTAGGGGATTATTCATTGGATGATAGAATCAGAGCAAGGACGTTTATCTAATCCTTTGGGATATATCCAACAATATTTTGGAGAATTATAAGTGTTCTAAAAAATGTCAAGCGACTATACCATGTACTGCATGCTACGAATATCAATTGCATAAAATAGCTGAGTGAACCAGCATATCACGAACACCAGGGATTCCCTCAAAACGTCTCGTGCATACTCAATTGCATTCCACGAATCATCAGCTCTCCCACCCTTGTTCTCTTTCATTTCATCCCGTCTACTCTCTCTTGTGCAGGCGTCAACCTAACAGAAAAAATAACGAAGAGTCCTCATCGCGTCATGAAACAAAAGCCTCGCAAATCCACGTCAGTCGATCGAACCTCATTCCATTCACTCAGAGGCTACTCGTCAGAACTTGCTGGAGTTAGACAAAGCGCGAGGCGGCTCAAGGGGTGTTGGGGAAAAAGGAAAGACAGAGACACGCGTGTAGCAAGCACAAGGACGGCGCTAGTTTGTAAAAGTAGGGCGTATGTAGTGGTGGCGCGCATAAGGGGGCAGATACGACAGCCAGAGACATGAGGGACAATTGAGAAGGGGAAGGTGGGGCTAAAGTTGCAGGTGAACACATACATGAGTCACGAAATCATATAAAAAAAAAGGACAATTGATTCATAAATGTATGTTATTTCTTTATTAGGGACCATTTATTCTCACCTATGCTGTTGCTGGAACTTCCAGAGCTTAGTGTAGATGTCGAAGGTCCTGCCAAAATAAGCTTGCCACTGCTTATGGCCATACTGGGGTAGGTCACGCAGCCCGTTGAACAGCTGCTTGCTCTTTTCGAGCAGATGACAAAATTCCATAACTACTTTTCTCTCGTGTTCGTCCATGCCAGCCATCATGACCATTTTTTCGTCGTACGTAGGACGGCCGACAGGCTGCTGCTGTCAGCGGTTCGCCACCGCTGCGCGTTGCCTCCTGTAGTCCGTTCCAGCGTCTCGGCCCACCGTGATGCTCCGTGGTCGTCGTTGCTGTCCCGTTTTTTCCACCACTTCTTGAGCTTTGTTCTCGTTATGAGTTTATTTTTGTTGTATCACTAGTATTTTATTCTTCACGTTAATATATCACGAATTTTTAACGTAAAGATTTAATATCACAGCTCACGTCCACTTTGTTTGCTCAACTCCTGTCTGTACTTGGACTTCTCAACGTATGACTGCTTCGGGGATTCGCGGCGATTCATTCTCTCGACGTTTGTCTGACAGTTTTACACTTGCCACACGACTCTAACACCAATCAATAAAGTCCCATGTTGATGAAAAAACCCAGAAGATAGCGCTTAGGGTGTAGGCACCAACGACATCAGTTGGATGCAACCCAGAGTGTTTTGGTAAAGTAGAATTAATCAATAAAGGGTAGTTTGTTGAGGGTGAGTCGGTAGAGAAGTCAAATGCATTGAGGGAAAATCAACATATGTTGATAAAGAAAGCTTTTCCGTTTTATTTTAATCTATATTTCGTGGGATCAATGTTAGATGGACTCAGTGCTTTCTCAAAAGCTCTCGAAGGTGTTTCTTGTTTAAAGACTATCACGATAATATCCTCATGTACAATCAAATGTATTAATATTATTACAAATATTTAGGAAACTAGTAAATTACATCTTTGGAACATTTTGAATATTTATTGAAACCAACTTACAGATAATAATTATCAACAAGGTTGGCAGAGAGTTTGTAATCTTCCACCCATTCCATTTGCTACTTGATAGTCACCAACTATCGAGATTAATTAGCTAGATAAACGACGTAGTTATGTACATGATAAAGAGGGGAAGGGTAGAGAGAGAGATAGATGGAGAGAGAGAGAGCAGATGATGCAGTACATACTTACTCCTCTGTAAAGAATAGCTTGAATGATAGCAAGTGCAAAAGAGGTGTGTTCTCGCCGTCTCGGTATCGACTGTCGCCTCATCTACAAGTCAATCGAGTTTCTCGCGTGTTGTAGGCTCGTGAGTCGTAGCCAGCTGTACCACCCCTTCAACCGAAATGCAATCCACCCTCTGCAAGTGCTTGTATCTAACTGCCTTCGCTCTCGGACAACGTTTGAGTATGCAAGTATAATGTGGCCGAAACGTATGCATATATGAATGCTTATGGAAATCACCAACAGCACGATAGTTTCGACAGAAATAAACTCAAGATAGGATGCGATAGCAAGTATTGAAAGTTCTATTTTCTCTGAATAATTTACTAATTCCATTGCATCCAAGTTCCAGTTTAGAATGAAACATTAATATTTGGTTTTTATAAAATTTTATTCAGGAAGTTATATTGAAATGTGTTAGATTGTTTAGTAATTAGCAACTTGCCTGATAAATATTTTTAAATTCCAATTAGTACTCTTTTGTTCCAAACTTATTGTCCACAGTTAAAATTTATAAGAGCATATTAGACACTAAATTTTATTCATTTATTTGAGCTATATCGAAAGTGAGTCAGCGTAACAAATGCTAAGGGGATCTTGCTGGTCTTTGGTGGCAGTAGAAAAGACCTGATAGTCAACCGTACACACTCCATAACAGGGTGAGCGAGTTGAGCGATCATATCGGCTTGTTAACTGATATTAATAGTAGGGCGCGGTGGTATATGTACTTCGTCCAATACCGCACCCGTGCCCTATGACGAATGAAATGAAGAGAAGTGACGAGGAGGATTGAAGGGACGACGAGAATCGTTCGATGATTTTCTACGCGCCCTAATTGTAACAAATTAAATCACGCGACGTCGATACGTTTACAAAAGGGGATGAATATTTTCGATACTTATCTACTGAATCAATCATGTATTACCTTTAAAAAAATTTATCAGCATAATTGCTAATGGAAGCTATTAAATAGAAAATCAGTGAGTTGTAACTTGCTTTAATGAGCGCATAACCAGAACAATCTGTCTTCTCAGGGAGGGGCTGGGAAAAATAAATACAATAAGGTGTTGAATCTATAAAAAATTCGAGATGTTAGAGGCTTGCCAAGTGTTTCTCAGTTTCCTTTCGTAGAGAAATGTGTCACCCGAATAAATAGACTTGGTTGTGGCACGCGAATAAACTCTCATAACATAGCAGTAACCTGTTGAACGTTTTCTGTTCGTGACAAGCAGTGATTGCATTTGTTGCCCACTTGGCTCGATTTTACCGTTCTTTTTAAACTCGTTCAAATTTATTTGCAAATCAACCCCCGCGAATAGACTACCTATAACGATCTATTTTGCTTCGTAGCAATGTAAATGCCACCAAGCATATTCCTACGTATTTCAGTTAACTTCATTATTATTCAATTGCTGAAATTAAATAAATGATTCAATATTTAACCTACTACAATGATTCAGAACGTTTTGAAAATTTTTTTACGGGAAAAAAGAATCGTTTAGATATCAATTAATTTTTAATTAAACATCTTTTATTATGAAAAGCGATAGGGAATAAGAAGTGAAAATACAAAGTCTTCTTTGAAAAATTTAATAAGTAGTAAAAGTGTTTAGTAATAAAACTCAAAAAATTAAAAAAAAAAAACCAGAATGTTTCCTGCTGGCGATAAGTAGAAGCAGCACAGCAAGAGTCAGACCAAAAGTGTAGAGGGTAGCTGCTAGAGAGAAGGACTTGGAAGAAGGGCTCAGGAAGTTCTAACTCACCCGGCATCAAGCCAACTATCCTACACCCACGATCCCCAAGTCCCTGCCATTAACGTTAACCTCCTGTACACTGAGAGTTTGCATTTTATCGATCTGTCTTACATGATAAAAAAATTCTATAACCTTAAAAAGACAAAAAAATTGTTACAGATACACACAAATGGTGGAACTACGAGAGAAGATTAAATATTCAATATGTAATAGACAACATCTATAAAAAAAATTGAAATTTTATTTCATGTATGGAATAGATACTGTGCACTTCTTTTTGTATGCAGATCAAAGCAAGATATAGTTACTTAAAGGTATATATATCTTTTTTTGATAAAAAAATTTTTATTGCTTTTGTATATATGTTTTTTTAGATTCATTATTATTTGTGTATATTTTAATTCTGTTGAGAAGTTTATGTATAAAATTATTGGCTTTGTTTGGATTTTCTGTGGAGTTGCATGATCCCTAGCTACATTTAATCTATTGTTCGATGGTAATGGAGCGTAAGAAATCGTAAGAGCATCCAGGAATTTTTTTTAGAACAATTCTACATGCAATTCAGGTTTACATTATTTCTCAGCAACCTCGACACTCTTCTTGATGACTTTTTACTTCCGGGTTAGAGTAAATTCATGATTAATTTTTTTTCTTGAGTACAGATTATTGGAATACAACTACTTATACAAACTTTCTCTTTAAAATCTAAAATTCAAGTATAAAATAAAGTAGTTTCCTTTTACTACTTTAATTCTTTTCGCAATCAAACATTATATCTGATAAAAGAAATTCTTATTTACAATGTGAGTTAATTCTTATTCATAAAAATTATTTAGTTCCAGATGGTGTTAAATATTTTCTGAAAATTCAACGACAAATAATGACAAATATAGAAGATAAAATTTTCAATTCGAAACAAAAATTTCTACAAAGATTGAAAGTAAGTAAAAAAGCTGAAATAATTAAAGATCTTGAAATCGTTTAATGTGTTGCTAATTAAATTGGACTTTTTGCCTTACTGTCTTTTTGATCTATTTTCGTACATTCCAACAGGATTCAGAAGTAACAAAATCTACCCCAGTGAGTGATCCCGCCTCTAAGGAGCCTTCAAAACCATGGGAGAAATACGGGGAGGCAAGAGGAATGCTAAACTTTCGAGAGAGGGAAGGAGAACATGTTTCTGGAGCGCAGGCTCCAATACAGCCAATCGGCGGACCGCGACTGATAACGACGCTGCCAAATGTGCGTCCGTCGTCGCGGCCGGTCCACGCGCTAACATCATCATCTCACCCCGATTTTATAGAGAGACTTGAAAGGATCACACCATTACATCCAGGATCGCAACGTCCTTCTGACATCTATCTCAAGACAGAGCTTTTGGAGATTGTCCAGGAGTGAATGGTGACAGTCTCAGTTCTGGTTGGTTTTTTAATAAATTCGTGGCGTGACAGTCATTTTTTTGGTGATTTAATTAACTTGGATTTCAATCAAGATAATATTTTGATCCATTATCAAATGATACAGAGACGTTCAATGGTGTGAAGATAGTGGAGGAAAATTGTTTTTTTTTTAAGGAGAAAGCCTAGTTCTGAGAAGCGGTCTGGATCCGTTACAGCGACACCCCGTACTGACGGTGAGTGTTAAAAAATACTGATGATATGCATAATCTTAAAATTTGAATTATTTATTTTTTTTCTGTCAGAATTACTAAATGTCAGTTTTTATAATACATAAATTCTAATGTCTTTATTTGTTCTATGTATCATCGTATAGCTTCTTTATAGTTACGACTGCGACATAGCAAAGAATTGATCAGAAAAAACGAACAAAGATTGAATTGAGAATCGGTCAAATTGCTCGCACATCCGGTTTTTCATGGGCCAAGGGCTGGGTGAAAATAATTCAGAAAACTTTTATGTATGTGGGCGAGGGTCAAAGTCGGGAAATGGTCAGCTAGCAAGGGGGTTGATTGTGTTTCTCATGCATAAAAAAAATATCATTGTCCCCGGGGGTCAAGTACCGTTGCAATGAACGCGTATGAGTAATGTAAAAAAAATTTTAAGTAACCATGTAGCACGCAAACACGTGTATGCTTAGTCGCTTCTAGCATAGAATTGGTTTTGTATACCGACGGCAATTCTCTCTACTTGTTTTATTTTTCATTTAACTAATTAACTACCAGTATTATAAATAAATACTATAATCAGTAGATAACGTATCCATCTGATTGATGATAATTTTTTTACAACTAGAAAATAGCATATTAATGTTTCAACTTTGAACAGAAACATTTAAATAACAAATAAAAAAGTAGACTTCTAATGGCCAGCACCCAGGCACAGGTTCGAATAAATCTTCCTAATGTTATCTTCTTTCCTGCTCAGTCAGTTAGTTGCTCGCATGTCATTCTCCAACGTATATCGTTATACACGAAGCATATCGTTCGGTGATGTTTACATGTAATGGGTGCACAGTCTAACCTGATGTGTCACACTAACACATGAGCCTATGACTTCTCAGTTCTCTTGTCGTATACGTACGCGTGTGAGCTTAGATGAGGTAGGCAGAGGGGCTTCCGGCGAGCGTTAACAGAGTAACAGAGTGATGTAATGAGGCCCGGAAGCAGGCAATTTGCTGGCCACGACGGCTGTAGTTGCGCGAGACAACCTGCCTGCTTCTACCTTCTTCTTCCAGTCTGGATCTAAAAGCAACGACGTTTGTTATTAGCTTTGGGAAATTTGGAAAATTTTATCTGTGATAATACTGTAAACTATATTGGTGTAATCATTATTCATTGCTCAATTTTCTTATTGTTCCATTCATGTTATATCAGAAATAAGACTAAAGTGAATTTTTCTAACGTTTAAGGCGTTGTGTAACAGTTTTCTTAGTGGTTACAGATTGTGTTCTTGAGTGAGGATGAAGTTTTAGGGCTGATGAAGTTAAAAAGTGAAGATTATGTTGGTTCTTCTCAGAGAAGACGGTAATGATGAACAAAAGATCAATTGATCAAAGTCACTAAAGTCAAAATAAAATAGTATATTAATGATTAAAGTTGAATTAATAGCATTAAGAGATTGATGGACTTGTGATTATTCACAGGGGCATTTTGGTGATGTACGACAGCACTAGCTGTTCGTACTCGGGGGCGCTCGACTTGAAGGGAGCCTCAGGAACTACTGGTACAACTACTACCTCAGGAATCTCATCGACTGGTGTGAAACAAGAGAATTGGCCATATCGAGGTCTTGCGTGTGGTAGCACCTTTCAACAACTGAAACAGAGCGTGGAAAAAGCTAAACAGGCACTAGCAGATCGTGGTGGATATCTTGCTGGAGCTTTTTCACCACCACCACGTGCTAATCCTTCCGCTATTTCACCAAGCACTGCAGTCTCCATCACAGGTAAGTGGTTTCCTGGTCAAGTTGTTATCATAAATTTCCGTTTCATTTTTCACAAACTGTTATTGAGAAAAAAATGAATTTAAAACGGTCGATAGATGCAAATATATGTTGAGAGAGTTGAAAAAAAAGATTTAAGATAATTTGTCACTGTTGTTAAATGATTGAACATGGTGATAACGAGAGTACCAGGAAAACTGTCGCACTTGGCGGCAACCGGTCGTCGATTTCCGATTGTTTTTTGAAAACAGCCGTGAAACCTTCTCCCATTAACTCACACTTGAGTGGGGAAAAGGGAACTAGAGAGACATTAATTATCCTGACGACGTAAATCACGTTATCTGGCCGACAGGACTGGCACAGGTATTGAGTAAGAGAGCTTTGTAGGGACGTTAGTGTAGAGTATATATGTAAAAGCGCGATGTAGAATACACCTCGTACATTGGCAACGACCAACCGGCAACCTTAACCCGCGCCAATATCCTGTCTACCTACTCTCTGACAAAATTTATCGATGACTCCGAAAAGTTTGTCTTGCTTCGTCGAATTCGCGGCCAGTCCACTGTGACCGTACCGCTGCGTCAACGACTCCTGGGGGAAGAGAAAGCCAAGTTTTATTTATGCGCCGTTGAAAACAGACATTTAAATTCGCGGTTTATGGTTATGCGTTTGGAACACGTCAATGCTTTGAAAATTATTTTTACTAAAAAACAAAACCTATAATCTATATTTTCACAGGCTTCAGTAGTCTCCAATCGTGGTGCTTTGTTTATATTTTAATTTATTATCAGATTTTAAATTATTTAATAAAAAATAAATAATCCAAAAACAATACAATCTAAAGTATAGTTTAAAATTTATTTTAATTTAAAATTTTCAAGCTTTAGGAATCGAAAAAAATATATTGCAAAATTGCCATTGTTTTATTCCATTACAAAAAGTTATTAATATTAATAATATAGTGATATATTTTATCAGATAGTCACAATGAATCTAATTAACTCAAAGGATACTTTATGAATTTAATAAAATTATAAATAGTTATTTAAAATGCTTATTTTTATTTAGATATGTACAGAATTATCTACTGTTTAGGGATTGAATAAAAAATTAATAAATTATTCATTAAATAAATTAAAACATTAATTTTGATTATTTAATAGAATATTTTATTAATATTAGTAATGTCTTTTATTGTATCAAAAAAAAACCGTGAATTGAATCAATATAATATAATTTTATTCATTATTTTTCTCCTATTATTAAAAGAATGTTTATCATCATATTAATAATAGAAATACTGAGCTCTATTGTTTTAATTATACTGAAACGATTAATATTGAAATAAAAAGGTAGCGAATAAAAAATAAATTACTGTGATTAATCTAATGATACGACGTTGCGTTGAAGGCCCTGAATTATATTGATCGGCATGTATTGTAATTGAAACATTTGATTAAAATTCAAGAACACCAGAAAGCCGTTTATCTATGGAATTAATCAAATCTGTAATCCGAATGCAGAAACAAGTACGATATCTCATGAAACGTCATCGCTGGCTCGCTAGGTTCCCTCACCCCTCACTTGGCATGACAATAATCGGATAGTATAGTCGCTCGTCATGCACATATCGGTCGACACGTCCGCAAAATTCGTGCAGCCTCCGCGATTATGGCAAGATGGTGGGTCGATGATGGCGGCCGTTGCGCCGGTGTAGAAGCTTTTCACAAGGGGATGATAAGGGAGAGGGGAGTGGTTACAGGGGTTAGCCGCTTTGGTATCCATGACAACCGACCGCCCCGCAGCACTACCCTCTAGGATCCCGGATGTTCCCTTCACCATCTCTCGCTTACCGATCCAACCCTCTCACACCATCTCTCTTGTGTCCTCATTTCATCTCCCTCAACCACATGGAGATGTTCTTATCTTAAACGTTACGACAACTATCTCCACTTGCGACTTTAAGACATATGAATTTCAGCAGTATAGCTTTTATATAAGTCCTGAATGTATTTTTATTTTATTGCTGCTGTAAAAAAGGTGTAGAGCTCTAGCAATGTGATATAATAACTGTAAGGAAAGGAGAAAGAGTGTAAGAAGTGTTATTAGATACTTTCCAACAATTCTACATGTAATTGAAGACGTATAACTGCATTTAAAAGTAGGTCAGTCTGGTATGGAGAAAGTGGTTAAATTCCTCGGCTACGAAATGATAAAATAAATTCTTTGTTTTGGCTTGATTTACAACTACAAATTGTGTGCTTGGACAGTGGGCGTATCTATGTGGCTTTTAAACACCTAACGCATAATTGGATTAAATTACTCGTTAGATGAGAGGTCAGAGAGTCATCAAACTCACCATCAGTTAGCCTTTAAACTATCATCTCTTATTTGTAGACAAGATAGTGATGGTTTATAACGGCAATTCTACGATCAAATGAAACTTTTATTTCTGGTTGTAAACAACAACTAGGTGTTTTTTATTAGAACGCTTTGTGTCAAACTATTTCAAATTTAATTCTCGCAATTATTGTTTGCTTGGATATAAGTATCAGAGGTCCCTCGTCCCACGGTGTTGACACCAGTAATTGATGTTTGACGATACGTAAAGGCTTTTTCCGTTCATTATGAAATACAATCTGCTTACGTAAAATCAAACATTTTTTTATATAAAATTGAAACTAAATTGCCTAAAACAAATAAGTCGTGAAAAAAAATAATAGACACTGGGAGAAAAAAAAATAATGGACTGCAAAGTTGGTAAGACAGTCAACTTTGGTATATGACAAGAAATATAGTGGAAGTATAATAGAGGGTGACCACAACGCGTTGATAATTGCCGGTATCGGTTAACCCGGGGGTTACGGAGATGTGCGCCCTTGTCAAAAACCCTTAGACCTTGGGTGCTGAGGGTTCTATTCTCTTTCTCGCGACTGACGGACTTTCTCGCGCGCCCCTTCACTTCCGGCATCATACTTTCAAAGCAACTACGATGATGGTAAACGCACCGGAACCATCCTTCCCTTCGTTCATGGTTGAAAATTGCGAGATGATACGTACTGGTGGTAAATCTGCCTTCAGAGATACATATTATCATGTCTAGAAATATTTCTTCCTTACGACGCTTCAAACTTTTCATTGAAATGTAATTTTTTAGCAATTTCGAAATTAATATTAATATTATTTATATAATAAACAAATGATCAATTATAAAAGATATTTAAAATATTTATGAAAAATACAAATTTGATATTATTTAACTCCCTATCGCATACCAAGCTACATGTGGACACATTATTTTTTTTCCCCCTGATGATAAACCCAATCTTTAAGAAGAATTTTTAATTAGAAAAAACATTTTACTGTTCAACAGAATATTAAAGAATAGTTTAATTTAATCCAAAGAACAAATTGGCAATCGGAAACATATTATGACTAAATTAATAACGTAATTTAATTGATGTGGTAAAGGTTTAAAATTGGTACGTTTTATAAACAGTGTCAGTTTTTGGATTCTTGTATCTAAAAATAAAGATTAGTTTAATAAAGTTTTCTGAAATAAATTGATAAAGCACTTGAAGGTATTTAAAAAGTGACTGCAATATTAATCGAATGAGTGACGTCATTTTAGAATACATCAAGTGTATTGACACACAACACTTTGAAATTTGCAGTGTAATTTTATTTTATTTTTTTTTAAACTCTTCATTTAACATACATTATTCCCGAGACACTTCAATAACTTCACGATAATCGAAAAATAATTAAAGTAATTGAGAATAATTCTTTAACAATAAATTTTTAAAAACATTTCTATTTAAATACAAGCTACTGTAGGTCAATATTCATAAAATAGTACTTGAACAGTCTTTCATAGTACTTTTAGTTATAATTAAATAACAATTGAACATGAAGTGGCGATAAGATATAAGCTGATGTTCTATTAGATATATCGATAACTAGTATTCAAGTTTTAAGTAACTATTATTGAAGTGACAAGTATGCTTGCTTTAAGTCCACCCTTAAGAGAACGTGGCTCATTGCAAGCCCCGTGACTAATCATGATAGTTCCGCTCAGGAACGGCAGGGACACACGACTCTCAGTTCCGTTTCCGGCGCGTGTTCTCTCTTCTATCCCTGCCACTATCATCCACTCCACCCCGTCAATCCCCTCGCGCAATTCGATCTGCACCCTCCCGCGCAATTATTACGCGTCGCACAAAGGCACACGCGACAGTGAAGGGATGTCTGACGAAACCAGACATTATCTACTGCGAGAATCATTTTTCTTCAGGTTTCACTAGTTTTTATTATTATTTTCCTTCTTTATAAAGTTTTTATCAAGAATTTTATAATGTTAGAAATAACGAAATTGTCTAAAGTTATTATTGTATGTTGTTACATCAGTTTCGAAGCTTTGAGGGTAAATCGAGTTCTTAACATTAGATGACTTGGCAGAATATTGAAGTGAGAACGTAGATACTATTTTCTAATACTTCCGACACATCATTTATCATAGGTAGTCATTATTTATTTATTTAACTTGTAAATATTATGATCAGTCGTATTAATACTCATGATGATAAAAAAAGATGGTTTATATATTTTTTTAAAAATTTTTGTCAACGTAAAAATTATGAAGATGATCATTAGAGGGATGTTAACATTTATCGGTTAAGAAGACCACGATGAATATGAGCGAGCGATATTTCGTCCCTGTAATAAACAACTCCGACGATCAATAACCCCAATGAGCTGAAGAAGGGGGTAGAGCATCCCCTTGATGCTTTGGGACGTAGAAAATAGATGGCAGTCCAGTAAACCCTTGTAGTATTTTATTCTAATTCTCTAACTTTTATCATTTAAACTTTTACAATCTCTTCTTAACTTGAAGAATTTTGTTTAATACCAAAACTGCTTAATATTTATATTATATGTTTCAGAATCGTTTTCTTAATTGAAAACTTGAGATAAATTTTTCCAGATTTTTCTTGGTCTATTAA